CAACCTCTGTGGATGCTTGTCATAGATGCAGGCAAAACGTCAGGAGAGAATGCCTCTAGACCATGGCCATATAGCCCAAAAAACCCTACAACAACCCACCAAAACTAAAAGGGCATGCTGTGCATTGTCACATACTGAGATAGCTGAGAGACATGCTGTAATACACTATACACTGTTCAATATTAGGAAATGGAGCCCTGGTTGCACAATGAGTTAAAGCCTTGTGCCGGCAGGACTGCTGACCAAAAGGTTGGTGGATCAGATCTGGGGAGTGGGATGAGCTCCTGTCTGTCAGCTCCAGCTTCTCATATGGGGACATGAGAAAAGCTTCCCACAGGATGGTAAAACATCCAGCCATCCCCTGGGCTACGTCTGTGCAGACGGCCAATTCTCTCACACCAGAAGTGACTTGCAGTTTCTCAAATCACTGCTGACACAAAAAAAAAACATTAGAAAAAATGTTCTGAAATGGAAAAATATAGCTGAGTATGATCAGTATTATTCTTGCATGTTAGCCTTACATAATATCCTAAGTAAGGACTCCTTCAGAGGACAAACGTATCAGGAAGTTGGAGTATTTGATGCTCTGCTTCTCATACTAAAACAAAAAACAAAATATGTTTTCGTTGTTGACTATTTTCTAACTATTCCCAGCACCAGTTTCAACATTTTATTCCCATTTCAGTGTATATCAGAACTAAAAGTTATTGATTCACTTCCTCTCTTTAACTTTGTTTTAGTTAATAGTGTAATGGCACATGACCAAAACGGCACTGTTGTGCTATAATGTTATACATGCAGTTCCTGGATGGTGATCCCAGATGTGTTTGTCTCCACAGGCCCATACCTTCAATGGTCCAGACCTTCTCTGACATCTTTGGAAGTATTTTTTAAACTTGGATTAAACCTGGAAAATCAGGTTGACTCGAGGTTGGAATAGATTATCTTGAAACGTCATCTGAAATTTTGGATTTTCGGCCTGTGTACATAGAGCCTTAGTCTTCTACTGTCTGTTATATTCCACAACTTTTTATTTTTCAAATTGCTATTGTCAGTGGCTTGAAAAGATGCTATTACCCGCCTTATTAAATAGCTCATGTTTCATTTATTGCAGAATCAATAGAAGACATGGATTTTTCTGCAACCTTCATCTCTGGAGTTGCATGTAAGCCTCTGTCATGGGAGGAGGAGGAGGAGATTCAATTAAAAGCAAAGGCTGAAATGGCAGGTTCCCTTTGCTTAACATATAGAAGAACTGGGCTGAGTCTTAAGGTACTGTCTTAAAGTACAGATGCATTCCTTCTGTTACTTTTTCATTTTAGCTGATTTTCCTCACCTATTTTTTTAAGATGCTTCTGATAGCCCAAATGGGATTTCTACTGTACTCCCATAGGGACACCGGAAAAGGTGGGATTTGGAGACTTCTGTCTTAGTCAGCTTCACTTCTTTTCATGGACCATGTAATGTAAACAGTTCTGGCCCAACTTATCTATCCGAACGTATCTCAGCCTATCAGCCCACCAGGACCCTAAGATCTTCTGGGGAGGCTCTGCTCTCTATCCCGCCGGCTTCACAGGTGCGGCTGGCGGGAACGAGAGACAGGGCCTTTTCTGTGGTGGCCCCTCGGCTTTGGAACACCCTCCCTATAGAGGTAAGATCAGCCCCCTCGCTGATGGTATTTCGGAAAAGACTGAAGACATGGATGTTTGAACAAGCATTCGGATAACCCGACGAAACGAATCTTGATGATTAAGGATTGGTAACCATAGACGATGAATTTGGATTGCGATTCCAGTTACGAGATGCATTTGGATTGTTATTGGTGGCCCAATAATTTTGTATGGTTTATGTGTTTTATGCTTTTAAATTGAATATTGTTGTTTTTTAAGTGTTGTAAACTGCAATGAGTCGCCGATTTAGGCTGAGATATTAGCGGTATACAAGCGCATTAATAAATAAATAAATAAATAAATAAATAAATAAATAAATAAATAATGCGATTTGAAGCTAGCTTGAAATTGTGGTGGCCACCAGACAACAAACTATCACAAAAGCATATGAAAGAAAGCCCTTCATGTGTACCAGTGCTTTGTGGTTTGTGTCATCACCATCATGGCCTCAAAGGCGGGGTCTACACTGCCCTTTATCCCAGGGTCTGATCCCAGATTATCTGTATATTCCAGATTATCTGGTAGAGTAGACTCATATAATGATCTGGGGTCAGATGCTGGAATATAGGGCACTGTAGATCCAGCCAATCTGGTTCCAGGATTTCCTATGTAATCATCTGCACAATGAAACCACGTTCTTCAAAACCAGTTTGAAAGTGCATTAAGTGTAATATAATGTAAGTGCTTGCAATTTTGTTTTCTTTCCTTTCCCCCGATAGGCGTATTTTCTGTCTCAGCTTCCTGATCTCTTACCTTTGGCAGACTTTTTGGTGTATCTTAACCTGTCATTCAATTGCCTGTGCTCCTTTCCCAAAGAGGTGAGTATATTTGTGTTTTATTTCAACAAAGTCATTTTAAAAAAAAACTGAACACATCTATGGCTTGAAACACACATGCCCATGCCCATCTAATTTCTAGATACTTATCAGTTTTGTAAAGAACCAGTTAAACTAACCCTTTTCTGCATTTATCACCACTCATTGGTTGGAGCTGTTAACAGCTAATTTACATTAGTTCAATGCAAAGTAGGGGTCCCAGGAGTCCCATCTAGTATAGGATATCCCATATCCAGTGTGCTGTCGCATGCTGGACCTGTGCATTAGACTGTAGGCAGGACATAAATTCTGTGTGCCCAACGGGACGCCGGGGCTGCCTCAGATTAAAGGTCCTTAGATTCCCCCAAACAGAGTCTTTAGATTGCTTAAAGTAAGTCCAACAAAGTTCTTTATTGATGAAAACAAACAGGTACTTTCAGGCTTTCTTAACAGTCTATTGGCTCTCGCAATCTTGTTCACTGGGAACAGGCACTATCTTCTTAACTGTAATTAACTAATGGGGAAATCCTTATCTTCTAATCTGGGCAGTCTGTACTTGCCTCTGTTGGCGTGGAGCCCCTGCACCCGGTACCAACTGCGTCTGGCTTCCGCGAGCGACCCTTACCAAGCAGAGCTTTGTAGACTTCCAAGGAAAAGGAGTTCAGGTTTCGGTGATAGCTGACTGAAGTCCTTCAGCAAAGGAGCTGTAAGACTGTATGATCCTCGGCCAAGCTGTAGGCTGTATAACCCCGGCCAAGCTGTAGGCTGTATATCTCCCCGGCCAAGCCACGGGACCTTTCTCCCCGGCCAAGTTGTGGGCTGTATAACCCGGCCAAGCTGTGGCCTGTATATCTCCCCGGCCAAGCCATAAAAGACGAAGCTTTCTACAGGAGCTCTTCATTTTATGTCCTGTGCGAAAGGCTTCTCTGTGTGGACTGAACTCAAACTGGCTCCTATTCCCTCCAAAAACCCAAAGGGGGCGGGACCAGGGAACCTAACTATAATTGACAGGTGGCTTGCCCTGTGATTGCAGCCAAAAGAAGCCACCTATCTGCAGAGTCCCTGAAACTTAGGACTGCAACAAACATTAAATGCAAAGCAAACAAAATTGGAGCTCCTGGTACAGATGTACCTGCACATCCAGTATCCTAAACCAAATCCCCTGTGTTGGTAATCCAAAGACAATGGCATTGCTAGGATATGTGGAAAGTGTAAACCATTCTGGGAGATACCATGAGAAGGGGATGACATTAAAATAACTCCATATTTTTTGTGCAGCGTTTCAGCAAAAGTCTATTATTTATTTCTTTTTCAGCAGAAATCCGGTTTTTTTAACGTAAAATGTTCTGGAAGTTAGACAGTATCACAAAAACATTTGTCCTAAGTCAAGCTTACATGTATTGTATCAACATATCTACAAGAAGAAGAAAAAGGGGAAGAGGAATGTGATTATTATGCAATGCCAACTATCAGACAGTGAAAAAAGCCACATTTGGAAGGTGTAGGTGAACATTAACAAACCCTGGTTCGGTTTCCAGCCCATGTAACTTCCTGGATTAGGATGCATATTTATTTTCTCACTTAGGTGAATGTTCTATCTCAATAATCTCTCCTGTTCACTTTTCTTCTTGCAGGTGTTTAATCTCAAACACTTAGAGGTGCTAAAGCTTCGAAACAACCCCATAAAATTCATCCCTGAAGAAATCAACCAGATGGCGAGTCTTAAATGTTTGGTTATCTCCTTCAATTTGCTAACTTCTCTTCCAGCTGGGTAGAGTTGTGATTTATTAATTTTATTATTTATTTACTTACAATATTTATATTCCGCCCTTCTCACCCTGCAGGGGACTCAGGGCAGATTACAATGCACAAATATGTGGCAAACATTCAATGCCAATTAGACATACAACCTATGTAGACAGACACAGAGTCAATTTAACATTCCAGCTTTTCTGGCTTCATGAGGGTATGCTCGATAATGGCTCGATTCGTCCACAGAGGGAGCTGCCGCTTCACTGTCCACTTGTGACACCAAGTCCTTTGATGGAGTATTTCCACATTCTTCTGTACGCTGCTGGAATGTTTTATGGTATCGTAAATTAGTTAAATTAGCCTCCCTGTAAAAAGCGGTACCTAAATTTCCTACTTGACAGATGCAACTGTCTTTTGGGCTGCATAGGTTGACAGCAAGCTAGACTAATAGCCAGAAGTTCACTCTGACCTGGGCTGGCTTCGAATTAATGACCTCTCAATCAGTAGTGATTTAATGCAGCTGACTATCAGCTAGCTGCGCCCCAGCCCGGTCCTAAATACTAGATTAGATAGGAGGGACAATAGGGGGGAATATTAACAACTGAGAGTGTCTTTATACAAAAAGATTTTCTCTAAATATGTTGACCACTGTAGTTCTTCTAACTGAATGATGTGCTGCTCGTAGGAAGTTACAATGCTGCTGCTTCCAGCAGAAATGCTCTTCTGCCAAGTTTGTTCTCATAGACCGATCTTTCAGTATGATTGATCCCTTCACCATCTTCAGATGTCACTGTTCTTACAACTAAAACATGATCTCAGATATCTGACAGCAGAGAACCTGGCAGTGAAGCTGGCAACAAAAGAGCAAAGAAAAAGGATGTTGACGAAGGCCCTATACTGCCCATTTAATGCAGTTCAAAGCTAGCTTCATAAGGTTTCCTGGGGGAATCCTTTGTTGGGAGGTGATTAGCTGGCCCTGATTGTTTCTTGTCCGGAATTCCCCTGTTTTTGATTGTTGTTCTTTATTTACTGTCTTGATTTTAGAGTTTTTTTAAAATACTGGTAGCCAGATTTTGTCCATTTACGTATAGTTAGTTTACAAAACATCTCCCATTCCTCCTATTAATTAAAAACAATAGCACACAGCTTGGGTTTTTTTTAAAAAAAACCTTTATTGTGTAACTTACTACAAGGATCCCAAAATTAATCAATTACTATTGCTCAAATTAATTTGCTATACCACAAACAAATCTATTTTAGCATGTTCCCATTCATGTGGTACCTTTGAAAGTGATATGGCTTTGTCTATTGTCAGTGTTATTTGGCTGCTTCTGCTGCAAAAAAACAAACAAACAAACCATGTATCTTTCGAGAATTTTGATCCATTAATATTATGCAGCAATAAATTGGCTGGTCTGTACCATTCCACAGGGTTATTTGTGATCTTTCTGTTTTCTATAGAATCATCTCTGTTTCCTTATTTGCACACGCTGCTCCAAGCAAGTATGTTTATTACAGGTTTATGCAATACCTCCCCATCTTTTTGGTTGTTGTTTGGCTCAAAGCAAGTTGGATAGCTCAAAACAGCGTCCTTTTTATTCTGTACTTTCTGTATTTAAGACATGCTTTAAATTATAAAGTTTTACATGTGAATGTTCAGTTTCAGAGGCTTCTGATATAGTTGGTTCCTCTTTCTCTAGGCTGTTTGCTTTGACAAACCTTGAGAGCCTTGATGTTTCCTATAATGAACTTGAAACTATCCCTCATGATATTGGAAATCTCAGGTACGATCGTGTTTTTCCTTTTTTTAATCTTCCCCTTCCTTGTTGTCTACCAACTGTTGGTTTGATTGAGATGTGGAGCTGACAACATTTCTCACTGACTCAGACTTTACTCTCTTTATGACAGAGATGAGTAAACATTTGGCTGTCAGGATGTTTATGGACTCCAACTTCTATAATCTTCTCCCATTGGTCATTTTTGATCTGGCTGATGTAAATGCATGCCTAAACATATAAAGGGCCAATGTTTCATACCAGTATTTTATGGGATGTACATTTAAGAAAAGTATGGATTTACTAAAACTGCCCTGAACTTGGAAAGCAAGGATAATTGTCCTCCTCTTCATTTTCTGGACTGGATTCATTCTCAATTCACCCAAAATAATCCCGAACTCTGTGTTTGACAATTAGGCTTTACTTCAAATCTTCTGCCCAATTTATGCTTGTGTTTGGGACATTATAGAAACCTATCATTTTGTATGAACTGCAGTTATAAATAGTTCCTAGTAGTAGATAAAGACACGTCAGGAGTGATGGTTCACTGTAGAGTACCCAGCTGTTAGGGTCTGGACCCTTTTCTTTGCTTCTTGGGGCAAGGTGGAGAATTTTGCTTTGATGTGTTTGTGTGGTTTAACTGCCTGTTCATGACTCCTTGCTTTGCAGCAGCTGCTATTACAGTTTTTGTTTCAATACCGAACATGGACCACTGTCTTTTGCTGGACTAGAACCTCTCGTGTTCTTAAAAGGCAGTGCTTGTCACGGTGTCAAAGACATTTCTGGGGCACTTCTTTCTGCACAGCGAAGAGCTGGAAAATGTTAATTTCCAACCCAAGAAATATTTCCTTATTTATTAGACTAAGGGCCCTTCCAGACAGGCCTTATATTCCAGGATCTGATCCCAGGTTTTGTGTTTATCCCAGATTATCTGGCAATGTGGACTCATATAATCCAGTTTAAAGCAGGAAACCTGGGATCAGATCCTGGGATATAAGGCCTGTCTGGAAGGGCCTTAAGGGTTTATAATTTGAATTGCATCCTCTGAGCAACTGTGTTTGAGGCTTTTAATGTGCCAGGCTTAATAACATCAGCAGGGCTTGCACTGGATCTCAGGTTTGGCTTAAAATCTCAAATGGGTGCTTGGAAGAAACTGCTTTTGAGATTTGAAAGGCATATTCTAACAGGACTAGGCAATTATTTTGCTCCTAAAGGCTACTTGTGATAACAAACTGGAGACCTGCCTTCAATTTCTAATTGTAGTCAGACTAAACCCACTGAATGGGTTGCAGAATTGCCAACCAGCACATACATAAATCCTATTGACTCATTGAGTCAACTCTGGTTGGAATTAGCCACTAGATTCAGGACCTGGGATAGATATACCTGTTGCTCTCCAGGGCAGGTCTGTCCCAGGTCTTGAGATTTCAGGGATATAACCTGAAATCTCAAGATTTCTAGTGATGCTATAAGAGCTGGGTAATGCTGTTGTTACAAAGATGGTGTCAGAAGAGACATCAAGCATCAGCCAAGAGTGAACATTTAAAATAGAAACAGCAAGTATCACAAATCGGGAAAGTATATTGCTGCAGTTCTCAAGGAATCTCTCTCACCAAGAGATTATCTCCAATGCCATGAAAGCCAAATAAGAAAGTCTAGGCCTGGAGACTCAGGGAGAGACTGTGTGATGCAGTAACCCTATATGTTGCAGAGCTATAACTCCCCGTAGCTCTGTCCAGCATAATAATGATGAGCCGTGTTGGGAGGTACAGTGAAACAACATTAGAATTTCATACTTCCTACCCCAATTGAGATTATTAGCAGGCTTGCTTGCTGAGTTTCATAATCATCTCGGTATGCAAAGACATTTAAACCTTTCCTTCTTACACCATGAGATATGCATTGTACTTCTTTCCAGTCATCTAAGTAATAGTGGAACTAGCTTTTCCCTGTGCCAATCAATGAACGGAGTGAAACAAGGGGGAGAAGGTAAATACATGGTTTAAATGGGGAGGTAAATACATGGAAATTACACTATGTGACAACATTTGGAAAAAAATCTGTTCCAGGTTTGAAAGTGTTTTTTCCTGTTTAATTGTGTGGTACTTACTTTGAAAATATTTGTTATACTCCAGAAACTTTTTGTTGCTGTCACAACTTATGTTGAATTGCTTGAGACTCTATAAGATATTCATTGAAAAACTATAGCAAAATATGCTGCAGGATGTCCCGCAAAAATCATTTTTTTCAGTTTAACAAACATGTTCCATGTTGTTATGATACAAACAATTAGGAAATGACATTTATAACCTAGGAACAAAATTTGTGTTACATAGTGAGATTTTCTCCTCATTGTATGTGATGGTGGAGATACGCACAACCCACTTGAGGAATGTCCTTTTGCTTGTGAACTTTCAGTGCCCTTACATACCTCAACATAGAAGGGAATTTCATCACTGTTTTGCCTTGCTCGGTACTGAAACTTAACTTCTTGAAACGCCTGAAGTTGGAAAATAACTTCTTACATCCCTACTTCTGGAATGAAATCTGCCAGCTTCAGCCACAACGACTCACTGACCTGGCTGCTCATTGTTTTGCCAAGCATAAGATGTGGAAAAAGCATCGTCACATCCCAAAGAAAATTGAGGAAATACTGTGCAAGTAAGTAAAACGGAGACTTTGATAATTATCACACATTGCCAGGGAACTGTTAGTTGCAAAACAAGTTTTGTCCAATGATTGTGTGACCGAAAAGGTTCTCCTGAGCAAGAGACCCATGCCAGAATAGGAAGGGCTTAACTTGCTATATACATCCACAGTTAATAAGTATCCTGGCAGAATGATGTACTTTACGATGTTGCCACAATTTCCCATGAATGCATATATTTCAAACACATTGTACCAGAAGCCACAATATAAACTGTGCTGATAAGATAAAATGTTCCTCAATTTAAGTTATACAGGAAAAATATGACTAAGAATACAATGTTTATAGCCATACTTTTTGTTATTTTGGTCAACTCCTCCTCCTCCTCCTCCTCTTCTTCTTCTTCCTCTTCCTCTTCTGTTTCTTGTTCTTCTTCTTCTGCTGTCTCTTGTTCTTCCTTCTCTGGTATCTGGTTTAGCATAAGTTGGCGTAGCTCAGCTCAATACAGCCAAGACTTCAAGTGAAGTGATGCAGTGATCAAATTTGAACATTTTATCAATGCTGCCTGAATTAGGCCAAGGTCATTGGGTCTGTAGACACATCTAGTGCCCTGGGACACCTCTGGGACTCCCTGAAGAAGGGGTTTACTACTCAAATTATCATGTGCATTTTGTGGCCATTACAGTCTTGAATTAGCTTTGAACTGCATTATACGGTCAGTGTAGAAGTGCCCTCAGCATGGCCTAGTGATTTGAGCATTGGATTATGACTCTGGGGATAGGATTTAACTCCCTGCTCTGCCATGAAAACCCCCAAGTGGGCAAATGACACACACCGTCAGGGTGACTATGAGTTGGAAATGACATGAAGACATAAAACAACAACAAACATGTTCCCAAAATTAGGATACACATAGATATCATGAAAACCAAGCAGTTACAAATGCATAACACTTGGTTTCATCTTCTTAACTCCCCTATGGGATGCAAACTGATTTCTTTTGGCCCAGCTTCTCTCTAAGGCCCCTTCTACATTGCCATATAAAATCTAGATTTATCTGTTTTGAACTGGATTATATGGCAGTGTAGACTCATATAATACAGTTCAAAGCAGATGTGGATTATTTGCCTTGATAATCTGGATTATATGGCAGTGTAGAAGGGGCCTAAGGATCTCGGTATGGTGCATATCTTTCTAATTCCTTGTTATCACAGCTACACTGTGGAACGAATGGGTTGAGAATGACTTGCATGAAGTTTACTCAAGTTACAGTCCTATATATGACTGGAGATTGCATTTTGAAAGATGATACTTAAAATGGTGCACTGGGAAGTTCTTCAAGTCTCACTTTTGCTGCAAACTCACTGGTGATCTTTGGTAAACTTCTTCTGTTCTCTCAGGATCAACTTGCAATACGGGGAAATTGCAGTGAAAGGGCGTATGTGAAATGCATGAAACACAGCAGAATCTTCTGTTTGTTTGGAGCACAGGCTATATTCCCTTTCCCCACTTGGCAGGTTGAACATAAAGACCATCTAATATTTCTGGCTTCCCTCACTTTTTAGCTTCAGGATCTGTGATTGCTGCCCAGGACCACTGTATGGAGACGGCCTTCAGTTCATTTGTGCTTATAAAAACGAGTATGGACTTAGGCTTCCTTACCTGTTTTGCTCCTGCTCACCAACCTGCTACCAGGAGTACTACTCCAGAGCTACCTCTCAGTGAAAGATATCAATGTTGATGAATAAAGAACCAACCAATAACATTGTGCATCGTTCAAAATCTTGGTGAGTTGAATTGTACAACTTCAGTGCAAAAATCAGTTGAAAAAGCCTGTTATTTGTTCTAACCCTCTTCCAAGGACAGGAGTCTGGAGTAAGCCAGTTTTCTTATCATATCATTTTTCAATTTGTTTCAAAATCCTAATTTATTTGACAATGGATGCATGTTGTTTTGCCACATTTTCTATAATGCCATCCTGACCTTATAGTCAGAAATGTAATGTGTGATTTAGCTACAAACAAGAAATGATTTGTTTGTTGACATTTTTCACGCCCAATTACAAATTAGGCAAGATTTCATGTCTCCCCTCTCCCCCACACCATTCTGAATGTAAATGTAACAGGGTAGTTAAGCCAAGCAGGCATCATTATGTGTTTGTTTAATGCAGCAATTACTGTTATACTGTCTCCATTCCAAAACATAATAAAATCTTCTTTACTAACATAGTGCTCAAGGACATCATTTTGCTGTTTTGGTGAAATAGGCAACACTACGGGTAGGCAGCAGCTCTCATGTGAATGTAGTGTGTGTGCGTGTGCATGCGTATGCAGTAAATGTATGTTAACTGCTCAATCCCATGTGACTGTTCATGGCTGCTGAGCCACTGCACATCATGAATATGATGTACAGAAGAGTCTTATTCATTGCCACATCTGGAGGGTTGCTGTCACTATAGTTGCTGCTCCTTTTTGCATCTCTGGCTAGCACCCAGTTAAGGAGTTATAATAATTATAAGTGTGAGCCCAACTTATGCTAATACAGCTCTGTGAGGTTGGTTAAGCTGAGAGTGTGACTAATACAAGACCATCTAATGAGTTGCAATTGCTTAGTTTGCTCCCATCACTATTGAGTTTTGAATATAGGATCTAATGTCACCTTTTCAGAATTGTATCTGTATACAATTTCTTAATAGTGTATACTAGGATCTTCCTAAATCCTTCATCCCTGTTACAAGCAGGTACGTGTAACCACCTACATAGAATCATAGAGTTGGAAGAGACCTCATGGGCCATCCAGTCCAACCCCCTGCCTAGAAGCAGGAATATTGCATTCAAATCACCCCTGACAGATGGTCATCCAGCCTCTGTTTAAATGCTTCCAAAGAAGGAGCCTCCACCACACTCCGAGGCAGAGAGTTCCACTGCTGAACAGCTATCACAGTCAGGAAGTTCTTCCTCATGTTTAGATGGAATCTCCTTTTTTGTAGTTTGAAGCCATTATTCCGGGTCCTAGTCTCCAGGGAAGCAGAAAACAACCTTGCTCCCTCCTTGCTGTGACCTCCTCTCACATATTTATACATGGCTATCATGTCTCCTCTCAGCCTTCTCTTCTTCAGGCTAAACATGCCCAGCTCTTTAAGCTGCTCCTCATAGGGCTTGTTCTCCAGACCCTTGATCATTTTAGTCGCCCTCCTCTGGACACATTCCAGTTTGTCAACATCTCTCTTCAATTGTGGTGCTCAGAATTGGACACAATATTCCAGGTGTGGTCTAACCAAGATCTTTTTCACACGTCCTGCTCTCAAGCCAGGCATTGTCCCCCATTCTGTGTCTTTACATTTTGTTTTTCCTGCCAAAGTGGAGTACCTTGCATTTGTCCCCATTGAACTTCATTTTGTTAGTTTTGGCCCATCTCTCTAATCTGTCAAGATCGTTTTGTATCCTGCTCCTGTCTTCTGGAGTATTGGCTATCTCTCCCAATTTGGTGTCGTCTGCAAACTTGATGATCATGCCTTCTAACCCTTCATCTAAGTCATTAATAAAGATGTTGAACAGGACCGGGCCCAGGACGGAACCTTGCTTGTGGCACTCTGCTCGTCACTTCTTTCCATAATGAAGAGGCAGCATTGGTGAGCACCCTCTGGGTTTGTCCATTTAACCAATTACATATCCACCTCACCGTAGTTTTGCCTAGCCCACATTGGACTAGTTTGTTTGCCAGAAGGTCATGGGGGACCTTGTCGAAGGCTACAAGCCACAAGCAGACAGAAATATGTCTAAGAATCTTTCTTTAGCTACAGCAGGATAATGTTGCTTTTGTTTGCGGTTAGTGTAGTAGTGGCACTGTTAAAACTTCCAGTACTGCTTCTGGCTTTACCGTTTAATAAACTGTAACAGTGATAATCCCAAGAGAGATTAATTCAAAATTAAGAAGATTTTATTCGGAAACAGAAAATCAAGACCTCATTGCAGTAGGCACTAATTATCCACACAACTTCTCTTGTTTGTTTCCACTGATTCCTTCAGCTATTTTATAATCTCGGGAGATGCCCAGGGCGAGTACTCAGTCAAGCGTTGAGGTATTTTGCATGGTGTTTGATATGGTCATTAATGAATGTCGTTATGAAGAAGTAGCTATGATCATAGCCCTGTGAAAAAGAAGAAAGGAGCATTCATTTTCAGAGGCCAAGCTGTTTACCTGAAGTGAAATGTCAGTCTGTTAGGAAACTACGTTTTTTACAGCACTGTTCCAGATGGTGATTTAGAACAGGGATGGGAAAACTATTTCTCCAGGTCCTTCCTAATGTATTCCATGCCACTTTGCAAGGCTTTGTTTTGCTCCCAGATGAGCTAATCAAAGTACCCTAGTCTTCTATGTAGCACTCCAAGCAGTGGTTTAGCACCTGCCTAGAGATCTAGACTGACCTTTATTCAGACCGGAAGCTAACCATCGGTCTCCTTCTCTTTGAAAATATATACTGTCCAAATACAAAAAATCCATCAGATATAAAAACTTCAAACACAGAAAAAAGTCCAGAAGCATTTTTGATTTGGAGTAGTATAGGGTTTTTTTTTATTTTTTTTGCAATTTCTGCAACAAAATAAAACACAAATTGGGACTAAACCGCAATAGATTCCAGGAGGCAAGGTTTTGAATCCTCACTCAGCCATAGAAACCAACTGTAAATAAAATGCAGGTATGTGTCTCCCTGTCCTGCCCCCACAGAAACCTCCTCTGTTTTCCTTCTTAGTTAGGAGAGGTTAGCCTCCATATTGTTAATAGCCATTATGGGAGGGATCCAGAGTTAGCCCCTCCCTTCCCTTTAAGATATTCCCTTCCCCCTCCCTAAGAGGAGTTAAGATGCTAACAATATTCCAAGTCAAGATTGATAGGCAATGGTTGATCAACAGAAGTTAAACAATTAAACAATTGAACAGTTGGTTCTGTAAGCTTTGATTGAAAACACAGAACAAAGAAGACAAAACAACAGGCTAGTAGGCAAAGATCACTGTTAGAGCAAATCCCCAACCTTTTAAGAGACTTTTGCCAGTTAGATTAGGAGGAGTTCTTTTATTAAAGTCTTTATCAACTGTTCCTATCAACTCTTTTCCCAGTAAGATCAGGACACCTCCATGCAAACTTCTTGTGGATGCAGAACACTCCCTTTATATTTGACCTCACAACAACCTTATAAAGACTATATCAAAGTTTCAAATATGCACAAAGCTCAACAATTCTCTATTGAGGTTCTAGGTATGAGAAAAAAATTAGATTAGTACCAATTTCAAATGATGAAGACAGTGTTGATATTCATATAAAACAGTGGTTCTCAACCTGTGGGTCCCCAGGTGATTTGGCCTACAACTCTCATAAATCCCAGCCAGTTTACCAGCTGTTTGGATTCTGGGAGTTGAGGGCCAAAACATCTGGGGACCCACAGGTTGAGAGCTACTGATATAAAACAAGCCATAATTTTGGCTTACCATGAAAATGTTATGTATTGGTGGTTGAAGCCTGATTTATTCTTTCATTATTCCAGCTTGCGAATGCAACTATTAAACAAATTGGGAGCAATGCATGCATTCTTTTCTATCAATCAAGGTTCCAAGTTTGTTGTTCCAGATAGATTTCTCAATGTTTGCTCATGTTATAGAAATCTTTTTCTAATTAATTATTATAATTCTTTAAATGAATATTGTACTGTCAGTTAATTACTTCAGGACTGCCTTGTTTGCAACAGAACCTGATATAAATACCCTTCCCCCGTCCCTGTTCAGCAAAAACCCATAATCAATCAGCCTTGGCTACCAAACTGTAGAGCTAAGAGCCCTGGATTTCCTGTGCATTACCTGCTGCATCCTGAAGACCACTGGCACTTTACGCTCTGTACAGGCAGCAATGAAATTATCAGGCAGTAGCTGCCCTGCTGAAAGGAACTGATCATCTTTCCCTTGATCAATAAGAATATCCAAAGGGGGGCCTTCATAGGACTTCACAATGTGCGTAGCATCATATGCCTGCAAGAGATAAAGGTGCATTCCACCCTCAAAACAACAGCAGCCTTACATGTTCCTGAAATGGCAGCCAAAAAAAGACAGACCAACAAAAGGAGCTCGGTGTCTATGTGATTTGCAGTCAGCCTGCATTTGAAGCACAACTGAGGCTGGGGTCATTAAAGCATGACATGGGCTTCTAATGGCAATGATGGGGACTATCCCTCAACAAGGAGGAACATGCACACTTTAATGTTTGCATCACCTTGCACTTTCCCTCTGAAAGTTTCCTCTCTCATCAGCAATCAGCACAACCAGAAAAAAATGAACTTGCAGACTAGAGTAAAAACCAGCAATAAGTGTCTTTAAACTTTTTAACGAACATGCTCATTTGGGCATTAACTACAAAAATAAGCTTTAATATTACCTTTAAAATATTATCCCAGCATGATGCTTAGGCTAAATACCCTAAAAGCAGCAGATCTCATCTGATCTTGGAAGCTAAGCCTTGGCTAGTAGTTGAATGCGAGACCATTAATGAACAACAGGGATTGTAGGCTGTATTGTAGGAAGAAATGTGCAAACCCCCTCTGATTATTCCTTGCATAAGAAAATCCTATGGTCATACAGAATATGATGTTATTTGGTCTAAACAGAAATGAGCAGACACAGTATTAATCTGCTAACTCTTACAGTTCTGCACAACTTGGCAAACACTTCAGAATTGAACAGGGTGGTGAAAGCATTTCTTACCAGGTGGTATATCTTTTTTCTCCAGCCAAATGTGTTGGCATGGGATCAGGCACCTAATTGCCTTAAGAATTTAAGCGTAAATGCAGCTGTTCCCCCCTCCGCAAAGTCCATGAGGCAGTCTGTTAGGTTCAGTTTCCATTTGTCTAACTTTGAAGGGGCTGAAACAATTTGGTGGCTCTACTATGGTCATGCTGTGACATTTTTCTACTAGGTAGGTGCAGTTCTGACATTTCCAGTACATACCTCCCAGTCTTTCACACTGGATCCCAGATATCCACTGAAAGCCTTTTTTCCCCATGGACACTGAACAGGGTTGCAGATGGGAGCAAATGCTGAAACAGACTATTTAGAAAGGGGAAGTTAAAGACATACAGGTCCTGCTCAAAAATATTAGCTCCTGATGATCTGAGATCACACATTTCAGCCACCCACCTTTTTGATAGACAAAGGAAATATTACAGTACTTTGAGAGAGAGAAAAAGAGAAAGAGACTGAGTACTTGATCATTTTTTGACTTATTTTGTTGAATTTGCATTTTCAGTCTCAGGGTATCTGGATATTGTAGGACACCCTTGATTCTGTACCCACAAACATCCCCGTGAATATGGTACTTTTTTGTGTCCTGCAATATTTTAGCATTTCTTTGTGGTCAGAAAAGATTCCAGATTAATTGCTAAGGGTTTTTTTTTAAACTGAGTTGATTTTGTTTGAAAAAAATACACATCCTAATTACAAGTTTCTGCATATTTGTAAAAAATATGTATTACTAATCAAGTATCTATCTCACAATACAATTTGCATATTTATGAACAAAACTGATAGTTCCTTCGACATATAGGTATACATCCCTGCTATAAGGCATATATTCTTTCAAACTGCATGAACTTGCAAAAATTGTCATAGGCAACTTGACAACTGTTTATTCATTTTCACATTTATAAAGACATTTCCATCCTCATCTAAAACAAATGCCTACAAAAATCTAATTCAACTTCTACCAAAGAAGTTTGTGTTATGATTGTTGAAATGAAAACATAACCTAGATTTAACTTTTATTCCATGCAGAAGAAGTACCAATCATTTAAAGACAACTCTCAGGTAACTGAGCACCTAATTTCCACTGCGGTGGCACAATGGGTTAAACCTTTGTGCTAGCTGAACTGCTGATCTGAAGGTGGGTGGTTCGAGTCCGTGAGATGGAGTGAGCTCCCGTCTGTCAGCTCCAGCTTCCCTTGCAGGGATATGAGAGAAGCCTCCCAGAGGATGGTAAAACATCTGGGCATCCCCTAGGCAACATCCTTGAAGATGGCCAATTCTTTCACATCAGAAGCGACTTGCAGTTTCTCAAGTAGCTTCTGACACGATAAAAAAAAAATTCAGCTTTCCATGCATCATATTTCAAAGAACATTTGTCATACCAATACTTTTTCTCTTTCCCTTATTTTCACATTCATTCATTTCATTTGACATGATTTAAGGTTTAAAATCTTACTTTATATTTTCCAGGATTCTTCAGAGCAAGGACGAGAGCACCGTGGCCACCCATTGAATGACCTGAAATAGACATTCTTCCAGAGTCAGCTGGGAAATTGGCATTTATCAGCTTAGGCAACTGAAAGACATCAATAGGAAAGAAAGAGAAGTGAGCACATCATATTCTGATCAGCACAGGCTGAAAACAGACATGCTGCCCTCTATTTCTGTAGATTAATAGCTCTTCCCTCATTCCTTTATCTGTATACGACATGTAAAAAGCATAGATATGCTGTCCACCAAGCCATCTTTAATTTATTTTAGCTATAAATGTCGAAAAAAGTTAGGAATCTTCTTTGTAGATATTTACAATAACATAGCTTTCTTAAGTACTCTAAAGGCATGAGAGTTTGCCTGGCTTTGGAAGCGAAGAGGCCCAGCTCTAGTTAGTTAAACTTGTTGCAGGGCATGGAACTGGCAGAACCAATTCTAAGCATTCCTTGCTTAAGAAACACTCTGAAAATCCCTGGGTCTACTATAAGTAAACAAGCAACTTGAAAGCATGCACACACATACAAAACATAGCATAGTTTTAAGGCTCTTACAGAATGAGGACAGAGGTGAAAAAGTAATACTACTGACCGTGAAAGAGACACTTTATTATTCTGTGTATTTAGTAAATTTCTATTTCATGGTTTGTTTGCATAATAAAATTCAAGAAAACGGTTCCCAGAATATATATATTTTTTGCAGTCAGGCACTATAAAGATCAAGCTCGGAGTTGCTTTAGTGAGGTGGCTGCGTCAGCTCACCTTGGTGGGGACAGAATCAAAGAATTTGGGTTAACAAATGAATAAAATTATAAAGTTTGTTGTGAGTTTTCCGGGCTGTGTGGCCATGTTCCAAAAGCATTCTCTACTGATGTCTTGCCCACATCTATGGCAGGCATCCTCAGAGGTTGTGAAGATACTATAGATGTGGGTAAAATGTCAGGAGAGGATGCTTCTGGAACACAGCCATACAGCCCAGAAAATTCGCAGCAGCCCAGAGATTCTAGTCATGAAAGCCTTTGACAAAACAAAATATGGGTTGTAGGAAATTATAGAGCCATCCCACAGTCTACATTTCAGTTAAGGCAACTATATATATATCCAGTTGAAAGTTACCTCATCCTTGATGTAAGAGTACATGCGATAATTTGTTTTCCATGGCTCTTCAGTGGCATTTATATAAAACCCAGCTCCGGTACCAAAGTCCCAACTGTCATCTTCGCCTTTAATATTGCATCCGCCTGCCATGGAAAGGAATTCAAAACTGGTGGTGATCATGCCTCTTCCCACACAGCAAGCCAAAAAAATCCCACTATGCCCTCAAACACTCACTAAAGGTAGAAAGGGAAATTTCATCACACATATTCCTCAGATGTGTTTGTGTTTGAGAGGAGTGACCCAGAAATTGCACTGTAATTTTTAGATAAGGTGGCTATTCAGAATTGCAGGATCTTTATGAATAACTGGGATTCCTCACTTGTTCCTGTGATGAAAATTGGGACTTAATCTGACCTCTCCAGCTATGACAATGAACGTGTGGGGAGAAAGGCTCTCTGGGCTGTTATAATGTGTAAGAAAAAAACAAATAAACATCACCATCTCTGTACCTGTTTGTCTCCTAACACATGAGAGGGTAATATTTGTTCCTGTGAATGTTTTGGACTTCCATTAGCCCCAACCAACTTGTCCGGTGGGAAAGTCTTCTGGGAATTGGTAATGCAGAACACTGGGAGGATTAAATATTCCCTAGCCCTACTTTAAGAGACCTCTTGCTCAATAGTTCAGTAATAACGACACATTATAATTTTCAGCCATGGCTTCCTAAGTGTAGGTCTTCATCACATTGAGATTCGGTGTGCATCCACTGCCACTGAGCTTTGAATGTCTATTATTGCCCTAGATCTTTGGCTAGATGGTTATTTTATTTGTATCAGCTCTAAAATTCTCATTGTACAATTGTATTTCAATATGCATTTCTAGTATGCGTTAAAAATCAAAAAGTTAAACATTATTTTAAACAATGATAATCATTCCACTCTGAGGAAAAACAACTTTTTGCACGTAAAGGAAGGGAAGAGGAAATGGTCTACTCCATGGAAAGCCTAGCAATTGCCAGTTATTGACCTGTATCCTAGTTACTAGTCTTTTGCAAACTAGCACAAGGGTTGAGAACCTTTGTTCCTCCAATTGTTTTTGAGGATAATGTTGTCAATCCCGAAGCATTGGGCATAGTGGCAGGGCCATCTGGGAGGTGGAAATTGTAGGGGAAAAGTTCCTCTTTCCCTCCTAAGTCTAAATTCTGAAGGGTAAAAGGTTCACTCTTGAACATCATAGTTGTTTCCTAACAACTTCTAAATAGAAGAAATGCTGTAACTGCTATGCTGAGTATTAAAAAACTTGATGTGAAGTGGCTTAAAGTTACTGGAATTATGAATAGCAAACAGAGATGCAAACTGTTTATTTGAGATACACTGGTACACTATACTTACGTGGGCTGGTGTCGGGAGCAACAACAATAAGGCCATGTTCAGCTGCAGCTTGGTGGAAGGCTGCTTTTGTTATAAAATTCTGCTCTGTGCATGTTAAACCTGAAACAACAGCAGAAGATTTAAAAAATAGGAACAGTGCCTACAACTAAAACTCCAATGAACTTCTTTCAGTCTCCCAAAAATATGTTCTATATTCTTCTAATTGCATGTTCCTCGTGGGAGGAAAAGATGGTTTAATTATTATCAAAATGCAGGAGATGTCAAGTTGATCACTAGGCAAATTCCAAAATTCCACATTGTAATAATACTGCTATTAGGCCAACCAAATAGAAAATCTGTGCAAACTTTTACTCACAGGTTCCTCCTCTAGGGAATAGGTTCCAAAAATCAGGTATGGAAGCATTTGTGTGTATGTGTGTGTGAGAGAGATTTGACCTTACAGTGGTCCCTAAGCTTACCTGCATTGCTATTATAGGCAATACTATAATTTGCTATCTTGAAAATACAAACACTGCCACCACTCTACCTCTCTTTCATGGAAACTTAAAACTGTATCTAACTAGTATGAAGCTCATAAACTCTTTTCCAAGCAGAGAGCAGAATACTCCTTAGGCAGCTTCCCTATTGTAAAAACTGGAGAAAATTTTAGTTGCCAGAAGAGATAGCTTTTCTGTTTCATGGGACGGAATAAGAACTCAAAAAATAAAACATCATTCTCAAAGACATTCAAATTCTGCCACTAACTGGGATGGGATGTAGCATTTAATACAGATTCAGGAAAATCTGAGTGTCTCACCAGAGAAACCTTTTAGAGTCACATAAATGTAAACTTTGGTGCGATTCAACAACATGTAGAAAGGCCACATAATCCCCATTTGTGATCCAAATCTTATCAAGACTTAGTCACCAGCATGTCCAAAGCTGTTTTCTTAAATATCCTTTCATATTCTTATTTAAATGATAAACCACAAAAGCATCTTTAATCCATAACACACATTTTCTGATAGACCAAACATGGGCATATTCAGACCATGCTAACATAGCATCACAATAAATTCTAATCATCCTTTTCAAAGACAGCTTCAAATACTCACCTGAGAGCCAATATAATACAGGACATTTCTCCGTGTCTGCCTTTGGTGGCAAATAAATTCCAAATTTCATTTTGCATTTCAGTTCGGTACTGTAAGACAACAAAATGCAGTTACTGCAGTGGGCAATGTAACCAAGCACCTGTACTTTTGTAGAGAACTCAGAAGTTGTCAGTGCTTAATAAGCCCAATGCTTTACTCATTTCATGGTTTCTTCCTCCATGAAAATCTATGCAACTATTTCAATGAAAAATTGATTTGATAAGAAGGAATTGAGGGTATATATCAATGGAGCCAAGAACTGCCAGAATATGGAAAATAATGCAGATCTTCACACACAGCCTCTTCACACAGCTAAATAAAATCCCACATTATCTGCTTTGAACTGGAATATACAGCAGTGTGGACTCAGATAACCCAGATCAAAGCAGATAATTTGGGATTTTCTGCCTTGATATTCAGAATTATATGGCTGTGTAGAAGGGGAACCATAAATGAAGCTAGTTTGGGTTCATGGACATTATAGTCCAAAGTATCTGGAGGTCATCAGCTTGCATAGTAAGCCCTTGGGAAGAATATTGCCATTTTAAACAAATGTAAACTAATATGAATTAGTAATAATTACAATAAGCTTTTTGTTCAGCCTCAAGCTCACTACTGGCACTTCAAACTGGCACTTCAAACTATCTATGTGCTTGTATGGACTATAGACAATCGACTAGATCAAGAATAGTAGTTTAATCATAGACACATTAACTCTTGAGTAAGACTGCTTACAGTTAGGTTTTTTTTTAGATTGCAACCAGGCTTTTTCCTATTGAGATCAATAGTTGTTAATAAGTTACTTCCAAAGCTTTCAGCGAAAACTAAGTGCAACTAACTCAGGCCCCTTCCACACAACAGAAGAAAACTCCACATTATCTGCTTTGAACTGGAATACATGGCAATGTGGACTCAGATAATCCAGTTCAAAGCGCACATTGTGGATTATCTGCCCAGATATTCTGAGTTATATGGCTGTGTGGAAGGGCCCTCATTTTAGACTCAAATGGACAAAATCTACATCACCTGCATGTAGACCTACCTTCATGGGAAGGCTTGTCTGGAGGCAACATTTTTTGGTCTTTTAGTACCAGAAAAATGTATCTAAATCCTGTTAATTATGATGAGAACAGACTCACTGAATCAATGGGATTTCTTGAGTCATCATTCAACAGTTAATTGAGTGGGTTTGCCTTACTTAGCAGTAAGAAACAAGATGCTGGCCATAATTTTTTGCTGTCTACAGTTATTTTGATGCCTATGTTTATTGCTCAGTTATTTTTCTGCTGTATTCTGTTGTAGGTTTAAGAGCAGGGTAATAAAATGACACGAACAAATTAAATATTTACCTGTCGTGCTCGTACACCTTCTGAAAACCACCAAAGCATTTATTACTAGAAATTTCCTTTAGTGCCATGACTTCTACTGAGAAACAAAAAGAAAAATTGATGCCACAAACTATTTTCATTTTACAAAAGACCCATATAATGACTGTTTATGAGGAGCCCACCATTGTATTAACAATGCTCAGTCATTGAAAGCTGAAATACATTACAGTAAAATACATTATAAAAGCAAAACAACTTAAGGTAAAGGTTGCCCCCTGACATTAAGTCCAGTCATGTCCGACTTATCTACATTTCTAAGCTGAAGAGCCAGCGTTGTCCATAGACACCTCCAAGGTCATGTGGCCGGCATGACTGCATGGAGCGCCGTTACCTTCCTGCTGGAGCAGTACCTATTGATCTACTCACATTTACATGTTTTTGAACTGCTAGGTCGGCAGAAGCTGGGGCTGGCAGCGGAAGCTCATGCCGCTCCCTGCATTCGAACCTGCGACCTTTCGGTCAACAAGCTCAGCATCTCAGCGCTTTAACCCACTGTGCCACCGGGGGCTCCCAAAACAACTTAGGAATACAATAAAACTAAGCAAAGTAAAACAAAACCAAATAATGCAATAAGAAATCAATCCCAATGAAATCAATCTCAATCCTAGGATCTAATCCCAGGTTTCCTGTTTATCCCAGATTATCTGGCAGTGCAGACTCATGAAACTGAATTACAGGAGAAACCTGGGATCAGATCCTGGGATATTGGTTCTGTCTAAAAGGGTCCTAAGTAAGTAAGTAAGGAAGTCCACCTAGCAGCAAAGCCAGGTGAAGCTCCAAAATAGCTATTATTAGTCAATAATGTCGTATTTTTTGGGGATGGACAGCAGGGAATTACTTTTTAAAAATGAGTCAAATGCAACTTAAATGTACATTTCCAGGAAACTGACCTAAGGAGGCATCTACACCGTAGAATTAACGCAGTTTAATACCGCTTGCACTGCCCTGGCTCCATGCTATGGAATCATGAGGACTGTAGTTTGGCGCCAGCCCTCTTTGGCAGGGAAAGCTAAAGATATGGAGGAACTGCAGCTCTTGTGATTCCAAACTGCATTAATTCTACAGTGTGGATGCACCCAAAGCCACGGAAAAGCCTCTTCCTGTGTTTACCTTTGTGTCCTTAATCAATCAACAGCCTTAGGGTGAAGCAAATCCCTTTTATCGACACGCCTGGCCCTCTGATGGCCCCTGGGCTCAAAGTCTTCTCCAGCTCTCCCCTCTCCTGTTGCTGCATGGGAGTTGTAGTCTGCAACGCCCCTTCTTTGGCTTGTGCGGTGGAGAAAAGGACTCCATTTCCCGAGGTGCCTCGCTCTCCGGGCTGTGTTCGCTGTGGCTGAGCATGCGCAGAACTCCTGGAGAGCGGGCTGCGGGCTGCCTGGCGATGGGGGTCCCCTCCGTTTCCGGGTTCCGGCTGCTGGCGGCCTTTGCGGGGGGCTCCCTCCTCTTTGTGGTCCTAGCTTCGTATAGGGCAGGGAGCGAGCTTCAGGTGGGTCGGCCGCGACAAAGAGGACGCTCCCAAGGGCCCACGTGTATTTATTGTGCCAAAAAGATGTGAATGCCATCGAGGTGTGTGGCCTGTGTTCCCTCCTCAAGGGTCTCACGACCACCCTGTGAGGGAGAGCATGTTACCATGGTGACAGAGGGGGTCACCATGATGACAGGCGCCCTCACAACAACCTTGTGAGGGAGAGGTTGTTCCTATGCTATTTATTATTGTTATTTATGAATTTTGTACCCCGCCTTTCCCCAATCAAGGGCCCAAGGCGGCTCACAGGCAGTAAAAACATACAATATGAAAATTAAAACCAAGTTAAACCCATACATATTATGTTATTTCACACGAATTATACTAATGTATAATTAGTGTGAAACACTATTTAAAACCCCAATATAATACCTTAAAAACCACCCAGATAATGTGTCATGGAGCCACCGCGGAGCCCCCAGTGGCGCAGTGGGTTAAAGCACTGAGCTGCTGAGCTTGTTGATCGAAAGGTCGCAGGTTCGATTCCGGGGAGCGGCGTGAGCTTCCGCTGTCAGCCCTAGCTTCTGCCAGCCTAGCAGTTCGAAAACATGCAAATGTGAGTAGATCAATAGGTACCGCTCCAGCAGGAAGGTAAGGGCGCTCCATGCAGTCATGCCGGCCACATGACCTTGGAGGTGTCTACGGACAACGCTGGCTCTTGAGCACCACACCCCAGAGTCAGACATGACTGGACTTAATGTCAGGGGACTACCTTTGCCTTTACCTTAATGTGTCATGGCTGGAATCACTGGGCTGCTGTGAGTTTTTCAGGCTGTATGGCCACATTCCAGAAACATTCTCTCCTGATGTTTCACAAACAACTATGGCAGGCATCCTCAGAGGTTGTGAGGTCTGCTGGAAAATAGGCAAATGAGGTTTATATATCTGTGAAATAAAGGATTCCCTGGGCAGGAAACAGCCAGGCTTTGAAGCTGCAAACCATTTAATGCTAATCAAGGTGGCCAATTTGCAACATTTCGCCCACTAAAAACAGTATCTATATAAACACTGTCTAAAACCAGCCAATTCCTATGATCAGGGTATCCAGCATTATAAATTATAGTTCTAATTACCATTTAAAGTCCTGTCCGATAAGGTGGTTGATAGTCATAGCCATTATCAAAAGCCTGCTTAAATAGCCAGGTTTTCAACTCCTTCCTGAAAGTTTTGAGGGTTAGTGCTTGTCTAATTTCCTTGGGGAAGGCATTCCAAAGTTGGGAGGTCACTACCGAGAAGGCCCACTCCCTTGTCCCCACCGACCTCACTTGTGAGGGAGGTAGAATTGAGAGGAGGGCGTCCTCGGCTGATCTTAGGGCCTGAACAGGTTTATCAGGAGAGATGTGATCACTTAAATAGGTAATACCCAAACTGTATAGGGTTTTGTAGGTAATAACCTGCACTTTGAATAGGGCCTAGAAGCAGATCAGCAAGCAATGGAGCTGCTTCAAGGGGGGGGGGGGGGGGGGGGTCATATGTTCCCTACAGTCCACCCCAGTCAGCAGTTTGGATGCAGATCTTTGAGCTATTTGAAGCTTCCAGACTGTCTTCATAGGCAGCCTCACGTAGACTGCATTGTAGTAATTCATACGAGATGTGACTCAGGCATGGACCAATGCAGCTGTTTCAGGAGCTGATAGTACATTCTCTTATATCTGCTCCCATTAGCAACTTGGCTGCCAATTTTTGAACAAATTGAAGTTTATGAACCGTTTTCAAACGCAGTCCCACATAGAGCACATTACAGTAATCCAGGTGGAATGTAACCAAAGCATGTACCAAAGTTTTTCTAGGAATGGCCACCATTGGCTCACCAGTTTGAGTTGTGCAAAGGTGATCCTGGGAACCTCCACCACCTAGGCTTCCAGGTTTAAAGAGCAATCCAGAAATACCCTCAAACTGTGAACCTGAGCTTTCGGGAGACTGTAACCCTGTCCAGCTCTGGAGTTGTACCCCTATTCCCGGATTCATCCTACATGAGACCAGTAGTACTTTTGTCTTGTCTGGATTCAGTTTCAATTTTTTTTTCAATTTTTAGCCTCATCCAGCCCATTACTGCCTCAAGGCATTGGTTTTAAGCGCAGCACAGCTTTCTTGGTATTATCTGGTGAAAAGCAATAGTAGAGTTCAGCCTCATCTTCATACAGGTGATACTGAACTCTAAAACTCCAGATGATCTCTCCCAGCGCTTTCATGTAGATGTTAAATAACATAGGGGAAAGTGATGAGCCCTGCGGGACCCCACAGTCCAACAGCCATAGTTTGAGCAGGGCTCCCCCAACACCACCTTCTGACTGCAGTCTGAGAGAAAGGACTGGGACCACTGCAGAACAGTGCCTCTCAGGCCTATTCCTATCAGTCCTTCCAGAAAGATACTATTGTCGATGATATCAAAAGCCACTGAGAGGTCAAGGAGAATCAAATAGATCACAGTGCTCTTATATAGTTCTCCATATAGATCATCCAAAGTAATCTCTGTTCCATCTCCAGGCCTGAAGCCAGATTGAAATGAGTCTAAGAAATCAGTTACTTCCAATAACCCCTGGAGTTGTCTGGCCACCACCTGTTCCAGGATTTTGCAGATGTATGTCCATTTGGACAGATGATTCTCACAACCCCCTTTTATTTTTCTTTACAATTTCAAAACCTTGCAGTTAAAGTAAAATAGACACTAAAATAAATCACCCTTCCCCACACACTCCCTCATGAAACCTCCCAGTTGAAATAAAGTAAAATAGACACTAAGTCCCCTTCTATACTGCCACACAAAATTCAGATTATCTGCTTTGAACTGGATCATATGGCAGTTTAGACTCATATAATCCAATTCAAAGCAGATAATGTGATTATCTGCTTTGATAACCCAGATTATATGGCAGTGTGGAAGGGGCTTAAAATAACCAAAACCATGTAGGGCTTTCAATTTAAATCCAAATTATCTGTTTTGAACTGGATTATATGAGTCTACACTGCCTTTTAATCCAGTTCAAATTAAACAATCTGGATTTTATATGGCAGTTAGAAGGGGCCTTATTTATATGCACGGATAATTCACATGTTACCTAGACTGACTGATGAACGGGAAACTGTGCAGAACCCACAGCCATCTAGTGCCTTTATTAGGTCCAGTCAAAATGTTAGAAGACATTTTCCAAAGTTCTTCAATAAGACATTATACAGTAGTCTCTCTGGCTTCATCTACACCAGGGGTCCTCAAACTATGGCCTGGGAGCCGGATACGGCCCCCCAAGGTCGTTTACCCAGCCCTCGCTCAAGGTCAACCTAAGTCTGAAATGACTTGAAAGCACACAACAATAACAACAATCCTATCTCATCAGCCAAAAGCAGACCCACACTTCCCATTGTACTAATAAGTTTATATTTGTTACAATGGTTCTTCATGTTAATTGTATTGTTTTAAGTGGTTTTTGCACTACAAATAAGATATGTGCAGTGTGCATAGGAATTCATTCATGCTTTTTTCAAACTATAATCCGGTCCTCCACAGTTTGAGGGATTGTGACCTGACCCTCTGTTTAAAAAGTTTGAGGACCCATGATCTACACAATGACCGTTTAATGTAGTTTCAAAGTGGTTTCACTGTGCAAAGGATTTTTTAAGGAAATTCTGGAACAAGATTGAGGCCCAGATGGTGATTACACAGAGCACTGATGCACACTAAGGACTTTCTTTAGCACACTTTCTTATGTGTTTGTTGTCTGGCTGCTACAATGTGAACCTAGCTTTAAACTACATTAAATGATCAGGAAGCATGTACTGTTAAGAGTGTACCAGGCTAAAGGAGGCTGCCTTACATGAACTGTGAGATATAAAAATAATATGTTAATAAAAAATAACCCTGGTCTCTAGCCAAGGTCAACTTTACACTATTGTTTCTATTGTTTATTTTTAAGATACTCAACAAGTTGACTTTCCACTATTTCTGGAAAAGTGACAAGCCACTCTACAAACTTGACGTAAACTGGCCTAAATTCCCAGAACAACTAACAGGCCAAACATTTTGCGTTGCAGTTGACCACATCCATGGATTAGTTTACATTGGGCAGGTGAGAAAAGATCTGTATGCTTGCTACTGGTCTGGTAAGTCTTGGAACAGAATATTGGGTGGAGGCTTTCTACTTTGATTTGAGGTTCAGACTTCAACTTTGGAAAAAACTCACATTTCGCCATCATTTTTCCTCAAACTAGATGTGTTGCTGTATTGAAGCAGGCATTTTTGCAAGAATCAGACATTTTCATGACTTCCTTCATTCTCATTGTGCTTTCTTTGTTTTAGTGTTGTATTACAGTACTTTTTAATCTCTGTGAGGTGCAGGGCTAGGATTTTTTCCCCCCAGTGGCATATATTTGTGTCCATTAACTACAATTGTTTTTTAATTTGGAAATTTAACAGGAACTGGCCATTCATGATAGCTCATGGACCAACACTAATCCATAAACCACAATTTTGTGTAACATTGCTCTATATATTAAGGTTTAGGGCTGATATGGGATATATCAGCCCTACCAGGTGTTTTGACCACTACAACACCCACATCAATACCAATCAGACTTAACAATAGCAAGGGATTGTGGAAATTGTTGTCCAAAATGTTTGGAAGGACAAAAGTTCTCCATTCCCAGATTAGAGAAAACACAGCATGGGAGTTCAGGACAAGTGTGAAACTTTTATGGAATGTCAAGGAACAGCCAGAAGGATGAAGAGATTATGATGATGATACTAATTTGATGAGCTGACTCTCCCTGCAACTTGAGGCAGAATTGCATCAGCTAGGTGGGCAATGACCACTTTTGCACAGAATGATAAGTTAGGATTCATAGTACAATTGTATAATTATGGTTCCACTTCAATTGCTACAACTCCATGCTGAAGAATCCAGGAATTTGTCATCTTATGATAGACACTAGATAAGTGTCTATAAGCTATTAATAAGCTATTTTTAGAAAAATCTAAAAATAACACATTCCAGATTTCCTTAGAAGAAGCCGTGGCAGCTAAATGGAATCATGGTTTAACTATGGAATAATTGTTTAGTATGAAAAAATCCTCGTTTTTGCTTTGGATGAAGATGGTGCACCCGCCTCTTCATATAAATGGCAACACTAACCTGATGACTGAATTACGCATCTTGGTTTGTTCCTTCTTAAGAAACTATGATTATAAGCCAGCTTACTTTAGAGCTTTCCCCACCTGTCTCTGCAAATATATTCTTAAAATGGCAGGTAGACTCTTTAGTGAGCCAAAGAACTCCGACTGATACTATTTTATTGTTTCATTGATCAGGTACATGTATCTCTGCCCCACTGTTCAGTGAAAACCAGCCTTAGGTATTTCCTTTGGTCTATCAACTGTTTGCTCATTATATCTCCCTAATTCAGTGGAAGAAAACTGTTGATTAGTATATTACTGCATGTTGTAGTTGCCTGTGAATTGGACTTAACAGGATATGGTTCTGTAGAAACAGCTGCTTTTGTTTTGTTAATTTAACCCTACTGCCCAGATGTTGGTGATAAAAAGATATGTTGTTGTTCATTCGTTCAGTCGTCTCTGACTCTTCGTGACCTCATGGACCAGCCCACGCCAGAGCTCCCTGTCGGCCGTTACCACCCCCAGCTCCCTCAAGGTAACAACATCCAATTTGCCCTGGCTCATAGATCTTACATTCCAGGTTCCTATGGTGTGTTGATCTTTAGAGCATCGGATTCGTCGTTCACCTCCAGTACCGTCGGCCGCTAGCCTTCCTTTCGGCTTTGAGCTAGCTGCGTCCTCACATCTGGGGCTAGTTGAACTTATCCTCTGCTCCTCCCCAGTAGCATTTTGGCCATCTTCTGACCTGGGAGTCCCATCTTCCAATGGCATACCGACATATCTCTGGTTGTACTGGTCCATTTAGTTTTCTTGGCAAGGATACTGGAGTGGTTTGCCATTGCCTTCCCCAGGGATCACGCTTGGTCTGACCTCTCTGCCACAACCGTCCCGTCTTGGGTGGCCCTTCACGGTTTCGCTCATGACATCATTGAGGTGCTCAAGCTCCAGCGCCCCGACAAGGCGGTGACCCTTTGCTGGAGTAAAAAGATATACACTTAGAAAATAAATAATTCTGAGCCCTGGAATTTATTTTCAGTACCAGACCTGAACAGAAAATACACACACACACACACACACACACACACACTCATTTGCCAAACTTGCTTCATTTCTTCAGAACATGACAAATTATATTTAAGAAATAGTTGGTTACTTCATGGTTTTAAAATTACCACCTTTAATTACTTAAAATTATTAAAGGTAACATCCCCTTTTCTCAAAAATATTTTCCATGTGCTTTAAAATAAAACCCAAACATCTGAATGGAGCAGCAAATGGCACAGTACGAGTGGCACTGTAACATGTGGTATTCCTTTGTGAAGTCATAACACATAACTATAAAAGTAAATGCAAAAAGTTATAGTTACATAGCAAAAGAATGAAGTTTTCCTCTATTAACTGCAGACATAATGTAACTTAGTTATGCATGCCTTTGTTGGAACCAGGAACTAGTGGGTTACTTTAAAAGGGAATGTGTTACCTGGAAAAGAAACTAGTGATTTTGGGGCTCTTAATTTTAGTAGTATGTTTGATAGAGGTACTATTAGTATAGTTTTTTTTGTTGCATCTTCTGCTGTAAAACAATTTGGGAGACAGAAATATTTGTGCTGCAGATCATCCACACCTCTGCTGGAAAATTACACTCTCATCTTCTGCCCATCCATGCAATAAGGAAGTACAATGAAAAATGCTTGAGAAATGAATCAATCAATCAGTGAAGCTTTATTTATATCCCACCCCATCTCCCAAAGGGACTTGGAGCAGCTTGCAACAAGACAATAACATAAATAATAATAAAACACATAACAAGTTAAACAATTTAAATCACCAAAAATAAAACTAGTCATAATACATAAGATGGAATATAACTCAATGTTACAATCAATATAAAACTATGTGAACGTTTAGCATATAAAATATTAAAACAAGTAAACATCATGTGACCTGCTCTTTCTAGTTTGAGCACTTGGATCAATTATAATTCTGTTTAAACTCCAATGGTTAAAATTATGGTTAGTCGTTTTCAAAAGCCTGTCTCCACAGCCATATTTTCAGTTCCTTCCAGATAGTAGTTAATGTGAGGGCCAGCCTGGTTTCCTTGGGGAGGGTATTCCAGAGCCAGTGGCCACCACCGAGAAGGCCCTTTCCTCATCCCCGCCAGCCACGCTTGTGATGGAGGCAGGACCGTGAGAAGGGCCGCCCCAGCAGATCTTAAGGCCCGAACAGGTTAATAGGAGGAGATGCGGTCGTGCATGCCCTTTTCTCTTACATTATGTTTATATACTTTCAGAGAGGTGATAATAATGTGCCAAAGGTTGTGGTGTATGGCGAAGAAGGCTCTTTCTTACAAGCATGGAACACCACAATTGAAATGCCCCATGGCATGTTTGCACTGAACACTCCCAACGCAAGTTCCATTTGGATCACAGATGTTGGCACTGGTATGTGAAAACATTTTTACTTTATGTTAGAGCGGGATAAAGCAATTTCTCTCTGATATTTTTAACTGAAGCTTCAAACTCTGTCTTTCCACAACATAAATTGTGTTCAGGATGGCTTCAATATTTATTTATATGTATACACACAAACATGCACAGACATGAAAGACAATGGATAAAAAAAAGCATTTGCATAAAAATAGATATTGGCATGAAAAGTTCAGGAGACCAAGAAGACATGATGGTGGGAAGGTTTAGACCACTTGGCATTGAGTGACTCAATAGTATGTTTCATTCATACTTATTTGTACCAGAGATTATGTAATTTTGCTGAAAAGTCTCTACCTCTTCTTCACATAGGTGAATGTGGACACACAGTTAAACAGTACGATCCTGCAGGAAAATTGCTTCAAGTCCTGGGCACACCAGGTAAAGCTGGTTCTGGGACAAACCCCCTGCAGTTTGATCAGCCAGCAGAGATTTTTGTTGAAGAAACAGGTGACATCTACATTGTGGATGGGGATGGAGGGATGAACAACCGCTTGCTCAAAGTGACTGAAGGTGAGCCAAGTGTGAAACTTTCAAGAGACCTTTGGCTAGTAATGCATTCTGTAATAAAGAGTGCATTTGTGATGTTCAGGTGTCTGCTTTAGCTGGACACAATCAGCAGTAACCACCATCTGTTCATTTATTTGTCTGATCGCTTCAATATTCGTACTGTATTTGCTTTTCTTCCATATATTCACTTACAGGGCAACCCAAAAATATTAAAAGGCCAGCTTAATTAATATAGGATCCACTCAATCAGTGCTGAGTCAAGACTTCTATTAACTTAGGGATGTCAGATATTTTAAGGGGTATCTTTGCAACACTCTAACTTGAGAATTATGTGGGGTTTTTTCCCCTGAAAGATGTCTTGATCTCTCTTAACTCAGTGCCTATAAAATTAAGATGGCACATACAATTCTGTATTTTTGTTTCCGTTATTTGATTATAAATGAATGATGCCTGATCTGCTGCTTTCCACCCACAGATTTAAAGACTTTATGGCTGCATGGGGAGAAGGGTTCTGCTGTTACACAGTTCAGGATTCCACACAGTGTAACATTGGATTCTGTTGGACGGGTAAAGTAGAAATGACTCTTTTTAAGCAGTTTTATAAAATGTCGTTTTACCACAGTTATACAGTATTGACTTGAAATTTACATTCAGATTATTTTACTGGGTGTTTAGTGTGGAATTTCCATGGTTTGTTCACTCTTTTTCCCCCCAGGATATGCACCATAATCCAATCTTTGTCATTCTGTTTCCCTTGTGTTTTTAATTATTATAAATCAACCCTTTAATTAGTGCCAAATGCAATGTATAGACTCTGTAGCACTACAGTGCTACTACTATCGGTCTTTATATCTTTTAGTTACAGCACTATAATTTTTCAATTCTTTTTTTGCTTCCTGCCTTTTAGCACAATAGTTAATGGTGGTGACATTATACCAGTGTGGTACTATAATACTTATATAATTGGTGTAGACTGAGTTTACTGCTAATTAAGGCTGCATCTATACCATAGAATTGGTTCATGTTGACACCTCTGTAGCTGCCATGGCTCAATGCTAAGGAATCATGGTAGTTGTAGTTTTACAGAGTCTTTAGCCTTCTCTGCCAAAGAGCGCTGGTGCTTCCCCAGACTCCAACTTTCAAGGTGTCAAGCTGCAATAATTCTGTAGTGTAGATGTGGAGTTTGTTTCCAAAAGCTACCACATCCCTCCCAAATTGAATCATTAGATAAAAGTGGCAGTGTATTGTTTGCTAGGAGTAAAATATTACATACAGATCAAAATTATCAAAATGTATCAAATCACTTTGATACAGGGCTTGGGAAACTGCATCTTATAGATAAAGAATACATATTCTCCACATGTTGTTCCCCAGTTCCTGTAAAACTTGTTCAGATGGATTTACTACCTTTTGGAAACAACCTCCACAAAGGCACCCTAACAGAGCTTTGAAGAGTAATATCCCTGTGACGATGTGTAAATTTTATTCCTTTGGTTATGTGTAGTTTGGACAATGGTTTAGGGATGGTAAGTATGGGAGGTTATGTTTTGTGGGAGTGGCTTGATGTTAGCTAAGTTGCCATAGCAACAGGGGCGGAGCCAACCGCCTCTTCAGAGGCAGCTGTGTTTTAAAAAGTCAGTCAGTGGCCGGAGAGCTACTGAGAGGACACTGAATCTTTTGGTGGAGATTCAGGGAATGTGTCTGTAGCCAGTGTGCTATAGGGAAAAACTGAATCTCTTAGAGATTCAGGGAATCAATTGGTGACCAAAGTGGTTGCAGAGAAGGACCCGGTACAGGGGGTTGTTGATTCTAAATTAAGAATCAAGGTTTGGCTGGGTTTAAGCCTGTTGTGCCAGCTGTGAAACCTTATGAAGTGTTTGCCTGAGTTTACTCATGAAACCTTTCCAATGTAACCATCAAGATTTATGCCTCTTTTGAAGAACAGTTATACATTGTTATACTCCTGTTAAAATAAACTTGTTACTTTTTCCTCAGGCCTTGCCTGATACAGTTTCTTCTAAGTTGAACAGCCTGCAATAATAAAGTCAGCCAGAAACAGTCCCTTTATAAAAAAGTTCCTAGGCTGATATTGATCGTTGCCCGGCTTCCCTCATAGATAAGGTGGCAGTGGGTGCTTTACCACGTGCACCTTCACAATTGGTGGTATTCGGTGGCATTAAAACGGTCATCGTCACAGTTGGTGGCAGCAATTTAATAACGGACCTCCTTCACAATCCCCCTCCCCCCTCCAGCAAAAAGAAGGTGAAAGCAAATGTTTGCTTAGATTAAAACGATCACTGAAATAAGTAGGGGCACCCTCTTTTCCACATACAGAAATGATGTCACAGTGACTAGTGTATTGAGAGGTTAGTGTCATAGAGGGAAAGCACCACACTTTTAATAGTATGAAATTATGATTGCATAATTTAATAGCAGGCTAAAGATTGGTTATCACTGCCTGTCTGGAAGCAGTCTTAAATATTTCAATGGAGTGTTCTCTTCAGAGTTTTCCTCCAGTCAGTCCAATAATTCTAGATTATTGCAAGGTTGCTTGAAATGTTTTCCAGTGCCTTCACACAATACTCTTTGCCTTTTCTCTGCTGCTATACTATGAGTAGCCCTGTGAGTATACAATTTCCCCCAGGATTTTATATGGGACGTGTCATGCCCATCATGCAAGCCACTTTCTTGCTGCATTCTCTCTCTATTTTTTAAAGAGTTTTAAATGCACCAATAAGTTAACAATGCCAAGTTAACACTGTTCTGAAATAATAGATCTAGTTGCATCCATTTAGTCCATGCGGAAGAGATGCATTTATTGTTTTATCCTAAGAGGAAAGGGTTATAGAATCATAGAATCCTAGAGTTGGAAGAGACCTCGTGGGCCATCCAGTCCAACCCCCTGCCAAGAAGCAGGAAAATCACATTCAAAGTACCCCTGACAGATGGCCATCCAGCCTCTGTTTAAAAGCCTCCAAAGAAAGAGCCTCCACCACACTCCAGGGCAGAGAGTTCCGCTGCTGAACGGCTCTCACAGTCAGGAAGTTCTTCCTAAAGTTCAAGTGGAATCTCCTTTCCTGTAGTTTGAAGCCATTGTTTCACATCCTAGTCTCCAGGGCAGCAAAAAAACAAGCCTCCCTATGACTTCCCCTCACATCTTGATACATGGCCCTCATCATGTCTCCTCTCAGCCTTCTCTTCTTCAGGCTAAACATGTCCAGCTTTTTATGCCGCTCCTCATAGGGCTTGTTCTCCAGACTTTTGATTGTTTTAATCACCCTCCTCTGGACACATTCCAACTTTTCAACATCTCCCTTCAATTGTAGTGCCCAGAATTGGACAGTGTATTCAAGGTGTGGTCTGATGCATTTATTGTTTTGTCTGAAGTGGAAAGAGTTAGGGATTACTTTGGCATAATTCATAACTACTCCAACTTTTGAAGCACTTTTATCTTTGGTTTTCGAAACAAAGGATTTGTCAGTGAACTAAAACAATTGCCTGGTGATTTACTATGGAATTTTCCTTGATTTTTCCTTTTGATGCCAGTCTGAGTAACAGGCAGCAGAAGAGGGTAAAGAAGAGGAAGTAACAGTGGGTTTATGCTAAGCCTGAGTTAACTTGCAATGAGGTTGTTTTCTTGTTGTAAAACAAAGACCTTGTTATTTACTTCAGGCTTGCAAAAGTAGCCAACATTTTAATTAGGAGATCTGGATTTTTTTGTCCTGAAATAATAGCTGCTATGGATGTAGCACCCAAACAAAACAACACAGTTACAACACCAGGAGGAGCTATGTATCCTTGTCAGACTCTATAATGCGAAGAGCTCATAGAAGCGCATGGAAAAATACAGAGCACAGCTTTAGATGAATGCATGTGCGCGTGCACACACACACACACACACACACAAGAATTTGAATCTAAAGACTAATGCATCCAGAAGGCCTTGTGTGCATGAGCATATGGGGCTACTCTTGAGATCATTCACGCACTGTGTTCCTGGGGAAGCACAATCTGTGTGAACTGGCATTGCTCCCAACTGAATGCTACTCATGTAGCAAGGCCACTCCAGCAATCGCAGCTAAAACAGGAGTTAGGGGAGCAATGTGTTTGGAGTCCAATCTGTACTATCTTGTGAGTTGCCAAGATGTCTGGATGGGGAGGGCTTTTAAGTCTTCATCCTAAATGAAGACTTAACAGCCCTCATAACACTCATGGCACCTCTGACTTATGAAGAGAAGGTTGCTGATGGTAAAAAAAGAAGATAGGAATTGCCATCTAAGACTATATAAATAGGTCCGCAACTTCCCCAGTTTATACTACATCCAGTTCCTGGGTTACGAACAAGATAGTTTCTGTAGGTTTGTTCTTAAGTAGCATTTGTATGCAAGTCAAATGTAACTCCAGCTGTGTGTTTTTAAGGTTTGGATAGTATAGGGAAGGGCTGACACACCAGTAATGTTTGTTTTGCTGTCTCTGTTCCTTTTCAGAAATTTTCACCTCATTTTCTGCCCCTGTGACACTTAGATTTTGAAAATTTTAGGTTGTTGTGAAAACAAGGATTAATGATAAAGTGAAGACACCTTTTTCTCATGATAACTCTTCCAGGAGTAACAATAATATAATATTTTTTTAAAAAAACCTTTCTTTCTATACCACCCTCTCTCCCCAGAGGGACTCAGGATGATTTACACGTAAAAAGGCAAACATCCATATGCCTCAGAATAGGCGGGAGCACATAAAATAATACGAAATAATGAAGAGTAACAACAGAAAATTTACAACAAGAAATTAAGCATCAAAATAAAAAAAATCATGCATTAAGACATAAAAACTAAAACATAAATAATCATTACAATGTACACCCTAAAAACAGATTATGAGACATTACATTAAAAATTGCTGACAACTGTGTTACATTTAAGACGTATCATTACAGTCATTTAATACATGTAGATTAGCCAGCAGTCCTAATCCTCCTCCTCTCCATATGCTAAAGTGCATAGGTACGTTTTTAGAAGTTTCTTAAGGAGTGGAGGGTGGGGGCCGTTTTTATTTCCTTAGGGAGGGATTTCCAGAGATGGGGAGCGATCTCAGAGAAAGCCCCCTCTCTCGTTCCCACCAACTGAGCTAGTGAAGGGGGTGGAACTGAATGGAGGGCCTCCTCTGTAGACTGCAGTGTACGTGATACAGGGAGATGCGATTTGACAAACAGCGTGGACCTGAACTATTTAGGGATTTATAGGTAACAACCAGCACTTTGTATTTAGCCCAGAAGTGGACCGGCAACCAGTGGAGCTGCTGCAGCATGGAAATTGTCCTCTCACGATGTGGCGCTCCAGTTAGCAATCTAGCCTCCGATCTCTGCACTAGTTACAGCTTCTGAACTGTCTTTAAAGGCAGCCCCACGTAGAGAGCATTGCAGTAGTCCAAACAGGATATGACTAAAGTGTGAACTACCATGGCCAAGTTTGGTGTCTCAAGATATGGTCGCAGCTGGCACACAAGTTTTAGCCACTGCCAGGCCACTGCCAACATCTGAGGTTCCAGGGTCAATAATGACTCCAGGATCATCCCCCAGATTGCAGATGTGTATCTTCAGGTGGAGTGCGACCCCATCCAACACAGGTTGAAATCCCACACTATGCTCTGCGTTACAACTGACCAGGAGTACCTATGTCTTCTCTGGATTTCGTTTGAGCTATCCAGCTTGAATAGATTTCCCTTCCTGGAGTAGCTTTCCTCTTACTTCCTGTTGTCTCAGCCACGTTTGTAATTAGAAGTTGGATGTCGTATGTTCATAGCTCAGTAACTTTCTACATATAAGCTTGATCATACGAATGGATAGGATGCTTCTGCTCATGTTGCATTTGTAGTATAATGGTAGCTGAAGACCTTCCGATTCTCATCCCGCACATGACACTCATTAATGAAGCATCATTTCAGACACTAGATCCCATATTTGGCAAATGTGTGAACCATATTCCTCAAGTTTCCCCATTTCTGAATTTTCATTCATCTTCCCCATTCATTAACAGAAAGAATTAATCATAACCTGAACCTAAATTCCTATATCATTACTACATTTTTAAGTCAAGTTGAATTGATCCTGTTTAAGTGATCTGTATCTATGCCACTATACGTTTCTATCCACTTTACTGACCACCCTATCCTTTAACTAGTTTCGCATATTGGCCCCCTCCCTCCCCTCCAAAAATGAGTCAGTTGTTGCTTTTGATGCTTGTTTATTATTGTTTTTGCTGTTTTTATACTATTTTAATTTGTTTATTGTCTTTGTTTTTAATTGTATGTTGCCTTGCCCCGAGTCCCTTCGGGGAGATGGAGGTGGGGTAGAAAAATAAAGTTGTTGTTGTTGTTGTTGTTGTTGTTGTTGTTGTTGTTGTTCTTTTTCTTCTTCTTCTTCTTCTTCTTCTTCTTCTTCTTCTTCTTCTTCTTCTTCTTCTTCTTCTTCTTCTTCTTCTTTTTCCTACACAGAGTTCTGTATTGAAGAGGATTTTGTTTCATTTTTTTTAAAAATGGGTCTAAACCATTTATGTTTAAGGCTTATTTTTAACAGCTCGAGGCCATTTCTTTGTATGCACTAGGTGTGGGTTGCTGATAGAGCCAACCGACGGATTCAGGTTTTTGACAAAACCACAGGGGAATGGTTGGGCTCTTGGAGTAGCTGCTTCACAGAAGATGGACCTTATTCTGTCAGGTATGATGTCTGCATCTTTGCATGCAGATGTGTGTGCGGATTTGAAAGGGAGACATTTTGACTATCTTAACCTGTCAAAGTGTCTGAAAAGCTGTCTTGTGAGTCAAGTAGCTGAGGAAGAGCTTCAATTCCTCAGTTACAGCCTGTTTACCTGATATGTGGCACTACAGTTACCTGAATACATCTGAAGATAAAATAACTAAGCTAAAGCCGTTCTGATCAATCATACCTCCTGGTTTCAGTTAAACTGGCTTATCTTCTATTCTGTGTGGAAACAAAGCCTGAACTTTTCCACTTTCCTTGAGATAGGATTCCATTAAAACTACAGACAGGCCGACCTCTTTTGGACTCTTTAGGATCAGGGATTGTCCTCCAAATGGCTTATTTCAGCACAATCGAAGCTAATTCTATTTTATTGTTTTCTTCTTGCTTAACTTCCCCTTTGCTCCTCCTGTTTGTAAATCCTTTTATTTTTTGGGGCAAGATTCAGTCTCTTCCCTTAGGAAACATACTTTTCTGCAGATTTTTTTTCATGTGGGGAAGAATATGTGCAGTATTAGTTTTGTAAAATCAGCAGAGCTTGCATAAATGGCTGTGTCAGCGACTCTGTAGAACCATGAAGCAAAAAGCCATAGCACCCCACTGTTGCCCCCTATACGTGTTTGTCTTATTCAGCACAGTTTCTCCTTTTTCTTATTTTCTGGTGTGCTCTAGAAGCTTTGCATGATTCTTTTCCTTTTAGACCAACTGCTATTCCACTTTGTCAGCATCTGAATGAGATCAAGTATATTTGGGGCCTGACTTGGGTCAAGTACAAGTCATGGCAAGCAGCATGTCCTAACATCATTAGTTTAGTCTTAATGCGAGCTGGCTCACCCACCCTGAAAGTAACTGTTTTTCACTAAACTGCCCAGGCCTTCTTGTATACCAACCTTTGACCAGGGGCCCTTCCAGACAGGACCTTTATCCCAGGATCTGATCCCAGGTTTTCTGTTTATCCCAGATTATTTGACAGTGTATGGATTCATATAATCCAGTTTAATGCAGAAAACCTGGGATCAAATCCTGGGATATGGGCCTGTCTGGAAGGGCCCTAAGTGTGTGTGCTAGAAATGGCCAAACAGTCCAACTTTAAAATGCACATATTAGAGAGCCATCTGTTCATCCATCCTGTGTATGGTATAAACTGGCTATACTTATTAGTAATATATTTGCTCCAAAGTGACAGCTACCCATCCAGTGTATCCACCAATGCTTTGTGCTTTCAGAACTTATGGATATGGAATACAACAGAGTATCATCTGTGACACTTTTCATTTCAAAAGGCTTATTGGGTATGGAATGCAAAGTGCTGAACTGTAAAATTGGGATTTTTAATTAGCGTCTGATGAGTGAATCGTATTTGAGATGGATCTGAGGATGTTGTGAGTGGAATTTCATTCATGGAGAGTGCTCACAAAACCTTCAAATAGGATTTGTGATTTTCTTCATGCTCCCTAAACATCTCAAAGGATTTTAGAGTCCTTCACTACAGCATGGGAACTGGCTTGAGGGACAGGGAGGGGATCAAGGGCTTTCCTGCAAGTGGAAACACTTATTTTGGGAAGGATAGTCTCTTTTGGCTCCATTCTGTTTGGTATTTTTTATTATGTTTGTATTTGTGTCCATGGCCAAAAAGATTTAACCATAATTCAGTGCAGTTGAATGTCAGAAGCGCCAGTCAGTGCTGTCGACCCCCCATAACCACAGATTCCATAATCCACAGCTTGAAATATTAAAAAACAATCCCAAGAGGAAACCTTAATTTTCCATTTTATTTAAGGGACACAATTTTACTCCCTTATTGTATATAATAGAACTTGAGCATCCATGGGTTTTTGTATTTTGGGGGTGGTTACAACACCAGCAAACCGCAGTGGATAACAAGGACCCACTATATATGCTGGTGCTGTAACTGTACTCTGTAAACGAATGAAGCAGGCACATAGCATGGTCTTTATCTTTCTTTCACTAAATGTATTTATTATTTCTGATAATAAATTCTACTTAAGTGTGCTTTATATAGGTTCTTACCTATGTATGGCTCACTTCTGATAGATGTTGCAAACTGGAGGGTTTAGGCAAATACCCACCCTGGCAGCCTTTAGGAAAAACCTAAAAACCTGGCTGTTCCAGGGTGCCTTTGAGGAATGAACAACAAATCCCCATACCATGACCAGCTCACTACAAAATGCCATTCGATGCACTTTATCTTATCCTTTAGTGAAATTAACCCCATAACTTCTCCATCTGAATCTCTCACCAGATCCACTACCCTACTCATCCATCTCACCCGGGGTTTTTATAGTTTTTATAATTTTATCCCTTGCAATTGGCCCAGCCCACTGTGCTCAACTTTTACTATTTTATTTCATGTCCTGTGTTTACTTTGTATTAATTTGTTTTGTTTACATTTTATTTGAAGTTATTATTTGTTGTATGTATTCTATTTTGATTTGTTGTCATTTTGGGGCTTGGCCTTATGTTAGCTGCCCCGAGTCCCCATGGGGAGATGGAGGCGGGGTATAAATAAAGTATTATTATTATTATCATCATCATCATCTGCTAAAAGTTTTTAAATAAACACAAAGCCCATCACACACAAAAACCATAGTGATTGGAATCTACAATTTGTGATCAAAGAACATATATGGGTTGAAGCTGCAACCATTCATTTTGGGAGGGATATCAGTTTCCCTTTGCCTCTGACTCTGCTCCTAGAAAATCTTCCACATCCCTTGGGGATTTCCAAGAGACATCCCCCATCCTATCCCAAGCAGTCTCTCAGATATAAATGGATGGAAAGTGACCACTACCATCCTTTGTTACCCTCCAGATATTCTGCTTGTACAAAGGGATATCTGAATTGGAATTGAATTTTTAAATTTATTGTCTCTTTTTTCCTTTGCCTGATAGATTTACTCCCGACGAGAAGTATATAATCGTGGCCCATCTAAATATTGACAAGATATCATTTTTGGCTGCCCCACCAGTCGGATTGATCGGGGATTGTGTTGTAGTAGACACAATTCAACTAGCCAAAGAAGTCAGGCCTCATCTTGTTGATGTCAACAAACAAACTGGAGCAATATATGTGGCCGAAATTGGAGCCCGGCAAGTACAGAGATATGTGCCTCTAAACTAAAAGCTTCACAAGCAGCTTCTGAACTCTTTTTCACCTATCAGGTTGCCTTCAATTAGAAGAGAACCCTTGAATTAACTTGAAGTGCACATTTATTTTTCCTTCTAAATCTATCTCAGGGACTTAATTTGTTTACATGTTTCTCACTAAGGATGAATCTTCCAGAATACTTCTTTAGTATAACTGCAAAATTTTATCTGAAAGCAATTTCTTGGCAGCATCAGCGCTTCCTGTTCATTTGTAATTTTTGTTTTTTTTACCAAGTACCCTTACTGGTACATTTCTGTGAATGGGGGGAAAAAACAGGTAAGCCTTGCTCCATGCTCTGAGACCATGCTCCACAGTGTGCGTTATGATTGCCTCTGCAAAGATCATATCCTATAGGAGCTGGTAACGTAATCTGAAGAAATCCTATTTCAGAGAAATTAGTTTCCAGCAAACAGAACTTCCTTAGAAGTGGTCCCAATTCTCTGGAATTTTCTTGTGAGGCAAGTAAACACTGCCTCTCCTTACTATCCCTTCAGAAGAAGGTTAAAGCCTTCCTTTCTCAATCAGTGATCTGTTTCTTAATGCTTTTATACAATATTGATATGTTTATTTGCATGGTAGTATAATTTTTAAAGATATGTATGCATGTATATATTGTTCTAGGACTGTTGCCTCCTGATGATTTGGAGAACGTTAGGGAAATTCCACATTTGTGCTAACCAGCCCCTACCTGCAGGCTACAACTATTTTGAATTGCAACATGGGTACTGTTTGCATTTCTACTTTGGTATGTTTTGTACAATCTTAAAATGTTTTAAATTCATTTTTTCTGGATTTTAAACATTGTTTTGGATGCATCAGATGTGAAACGATATGTAAATATGTAAATGTTTTGGAAATTAATATTACCTACATGGTCTTCTGTGCCATGAGAGAACTTCTTTATGGCTATGAATCTTTGTTTTTACTGCAACAGGTCATTGCAGTGACATGTCTAGAATTTACCCCCAAAGTATGTGATTGTGTATCTGTAGCTGGAATACAGGAATATACTGGTTGGTTTCACTTATGTCTGGTGAAATTGAAGAAATGTAACTGCAACATTGGGAAAAGAGGAATATTCGATCCCGTCCATTAACTATATACACACTCCATAGTGATCCTACTGTCACAGCACGGCAAATGACAAAGTTCCTTCTGCTTCAGTTTCATCTCCAGCCTGGCTCAATGGCAGTACACGTGCAAAAGATCTTGGAGTCCTCGTGGACAACAAGTTAAACATGAGCCAACTGTGTCATGCGACGGCTAAAAAAGCCAATGGAATTTTGGCCTGCATAAATAGGAGAATAGTGTTTAGATCCAGGGATGTCATGCTACCCCTCTTTTTTGCTTTGGCCAGACCACACCTGGAATACTATGTCCAATTCTGGGCACTGAAATTTTATGGAGATTTTGACAAGCTGGAAAGTGTCCAGAGAAGGATCAAGGCTCTGAAGAACAAGTCCCATGAGGAGCGGCTTAAAGAGCTGGGCATGTTTAACCTGCAGAAGAGAAGGCTGAGAAGAGACATGATGAGGGCCATGTATAAATATGTGCAGGGAAGTCATAGGGAGGAGGGAGCAAACTTGTTTTCTGCTTCCCTGGAGACTAGGATGTGGAACAAAGGCTTCAAACTACAGTAAAGGAGATTCCGCCTCAACATTAGGAAGAATTTCCTGACTCTGAGAGCTGTGGAACTCTCTGCCCCGGAGTGTGGTAAAGGCTCTTTTGGAGGCTTTTAAGCAGAAACTGGATGGCCATCTGTCGGGGGTGCTTTGAATGAGTTTTTGTTGCTTCTTGGCAGGGGGTTGGATTGGGTGGCCCACGAGGTCTCTTCCAACTCTGTGATTATTCTACCATCCTGGATCACAAAGGGGGCTCAGCTTCCAGCTCTATTCTACTTTCAGAAACTACAGACAAGGAATCCTGTCTGTATTGTCTACGCTACCATGGAAGCTGGGAAAGAAAGGCTTGAGGTTTTCCTCTCCACAGCATTAGGCAGATGTCCTTCTAACGAAGATGGAAGTCTTATCACCTCCTGCTTTGTTTGCTTGGTCCACCTTGGCAGCTCCTGACTTTACCTGTGGGCTTCCTGTTAGGATTTATGGACTCTAGAAGGATTAGTTCATGGGTCTGTTGGCAATTAATGCTAATCACCACAGAGGTGATTAGATCAGTGGTCCTTACCTCTCTTATCATAAGCATAAGAGTGGGAGAAAGAAGATTTTAAATACAGGTCAACTATCATAAGACATTTATTTACACAGATTCTAAAGTACAGACAAAATAGTATATTTTATAATTACATTACAAAGATGCATGTTAAAATAACAATACAGCACAATACAACAATAATTACCTAGCAGTATTAGTAATAAAACCTGGAAGATGTCTGTCATTGCTCTTGCATAAGTAATATTTCTCTACTGTGCCACAAACACACAATTCTCATAGGACAGACTTGCCTTTCATTGCCCTTCATAGGAATGCGCTATCTAAAAGGCTACATACGCTGAGTAAAATATTGCATTTTTTTGTAATAATCTCAAAAACATTGAGGTTAATAAAATTTATATAGGTCTGAAAGGCCGTTAATAAAATCCAAGAACACGTGTACGCAGATTATATAAAATACTGAAAAATGGCCCATTAGTCCATTAGGTTTTTTGTTTAAAATATGGCATAATACTGAAATTCAAATAAAATAATTAGCAAACAAAGAAAGTAAGAAGTGCACAGAGTATTCATTGCAATTGCTTTGTTCCACAGTACTTTTTTTCTGAGTTTCTAAGATGAAGGAGTGATGACGGATCAGTCGACACAGAAGTTGATTGATTTCAAACAAAGAGAACTGAATGATTGAGTTACAGTGGTTGCAAACAGAACCACTCTGAATAAGCAAGTAAACAGGAATGATAATGTCCTTTTGTTTCCTTTTTTGGGAGGGGATTTCTTGCACAAAGACAAGACAGTATTTGTGGAAAGGAGAATGCATGCTTTGCAGCAGGCAAAACATACCTGTTTGCCTCTTTCAAGAGAGAGTGGTTATAGAGGAAAAGGCCCATGTGCATTTCCACTGTTTTGCTTCACGTGAACGTCTTGAAGCCACTCTCTGACAGAACAAAACAAGAATCGAGAAACACTTGTCTTTGTGTTGCTCCTTTGAGGAGCAAATAGGAAAAGGGATAGCTTGGAGAGGAGGGGATGGAAAATAAAAAGGGGAAAAATAAATAAATCTGAAGGGGAGGAGTACAAAAGTGGAATGGAAAATGTGTGCCTGTGCATACATGATGCTTAGAGGTTAGGAAGAGGAGATTTTCTATGTGCGTGCACATATGTATGAGTGTTAATCTGATGGAACAGTGCAGGTGTTGAAAAGGGGAATTGCTTCTCTATATGGAGGAAAAGGGCACATATATTTGCACCTTGTGAATAAAGAGAATGTTATGTTATATGTTTGTGGTGTCAAGTATGAAAAGCTTAGGCCACGTCACAATTATACATTGCATGTGAAGGTGATCTGTAAGGGCAACTTAGCACCCCCCCTTTTTTAGCATGATGGGGCATTTAGGAATTAAAAAGCGAGGAATTTGGAACTTTCTCTCGCTTGCTTTTTATCCCACTTAGAATTGCCTTTCATGCCAAAAATGGTAGATTTGTTGTACTTGTGCTACACTCATTGGTTTCTAAAATGATGTTTGACCCTATGTGCAAGTGAAGGACTGAGCTGGCATTTATAAATGTGGGGAAGTGGGCGACTGATGGATTTCTGTGCTTTTTTAAATTTTAGATGAAGGTGAACAGAATATGTTAGCCATTGCCATTTGCCTGAGTAACAATGCCTTCCACTGTTAACTGCTTTCCAGACTGCACTGTGTTACAACAACAGGCAGACTCGTCAGACTTGGTTTAACTCTGGAGGCAGTTCTTTTGTTATGTTTTAATTGTGAGGCTACTGGGTTTTTTTTCTATGTGTATGAAGGAAAAGTGTCTGTGCAAAGGTAGGCAGATGTGCTTTTAGGAGTCTCATGTGGAAAGAGAACATTTTCCTCTTTCATATTGAATTCACTAGGCTGAACTCCAAATGGGAGCCAACCCAAGTGGTTGGGGGAGCCTTTAGAGGCTAATACTTTTAAGGCCTGAAAATAGGTGCTTTCTCCATATGGACACACAAACAACAGCGGCTCCAGCAGCGAGCTTAAGAGGCCAAGTGTTTGTGGGAAACCAGTGCTTTTAACGGTAGCAGAACTGTTAAGAAATGCCCTCTTTTTTCTCAACTTGGCAGACATGTCAAACAATCCTTTTTAAGGCTACATCCTTAACCTTCAATATGGTATAGCTTTTTTTTAACCCTTTGAATGTATGGTCTGTTAAAAACCCTGCCATTTTCTTTTTCCTCAGACAGGGGAAACGTCTTGTTGTTTTGTGAGACCAAAATATGCTAAGTAGAGTATGGTAAGAGCTTAAGCTCCATGTGGCTTATACCCCTAAGATACAGAAAAACCCTGCTATTCACAGTGTCACACATCAACTCCCAAATCCTTGACTCTTGTTTGTATTGAACTGGCTACAATGAAGAGCTTGTGCGCCTTTTCAAAAAGGTTTGCACACTCCTTTTCTTCCTTCTCCCTAAACTAGATAAATTTGTTTCATGTCTTTCTGGCCCTCAGTAAGGATACTGCTTTTGTTTCTTGCCCGAGAAACAGGCCAGCCAAGTGCAGATGAGCATTGCTGCAGCAGCTCCTCCTCCAGTACAGTAATAAGCCCAGCCAATTTCACAGGTGCCTACAGGGAAAGAAAACAACACAGGAAAATAAAAGATTGTATCAGAAATGCCTTCCTTCCAGCATATTTTTGTCTGTGAAAAAATACAGTCTCTTAAAAAAAAAACAGCCTCAAATTAAATTCCCTGAATCTATTGGGGAAAACCTATATATCTGAGAAATATCACCAAGAGGTGCATTTTTGTAAACGGCTGTATTTCTGCAGTTACCCTATACAGACATCCCTTCACATTTGTGGTTTTGTCATTTGCAGATTTTATTAGTTACAGATCTTGATTTAAAATGTGATCTCTAAGTCTTCCAGCATGATTCTATGTTCAGCATCTAGCAGTGGATGTTGTCCATAGAGTTGTCTTGGAAGATCCAGAAATTCCTAGAAAAATGTTCTCTCAGGAAACCCCCCTCCCCAAAAAAACCCAGCAATTTATTTCTGGTTTTTCACATTCACAGAACTCCCGTTTTCCCATCCCCAGTAATTGTTGAAGGCTAACTGTGCAAGCTGTGTGATCATTTTGAATTAACAGTCATAGACGCTAATATGGGAGATTTCATTTTAAATCATGGACAAAGGGTAACCCATTTGAAATCCCACTAATTTCAAGAAGGGAGAGTTAAGCAGGCATATAACTTGCTTCCCTCTTAAACCTAAGGAAATGAATGGTTATGCCTGGCAAAGTTAGATTTGGTCTGTATAACTTGGCGCTTTCCCACTTGGGGTGTTCAAGTGAAATCAGTTTTCCAGAACAGTCTTTCCAGAAATTTAAAATGCTACGTAAGTCCTTCATTACCTTTAGTGGTATTCTGTTTTTGATCAGGGTTGCGAACTTTTGAAAATAACTTCAGTCATATTGGAAGGCCGTTCTCCACAAGTTGCTCACTTACCCAGTTCAAACTGGTTGGAAAGGTTACCGCAGGTCTGCCGGACTTCTTCACTGTCCCAGCCCAGAGGATAAAGAGCGCAGCCAGAACCAATGAGCAAACCTATGGACAAAGAACATAACATGAATGTAAATAAAGGAGAAGGAGGATGCTTGCCATAGATGCAGACGAAAAGTCAGGAAATAATGCCTCTAGAACATGGCCATATAGCCCGAAAAAACGTACAACAACCCAAAGAAGAAGTGATCAAACACATTAGATTGCCCTAGGTTAAGTGAAGTAGGAAATATGACAAGGCTGGAGTCAATGGCTGCTGTATCTTAGCACAGAGATGCACAACCTGTGGGCCTTTACATGTGTCTTCTCTGCAGGTACTTGGACATCTTTAAATTCACCAAATTCTCCCACTGCAGCTAGTAGGGATGTGTATCAGGCTCACTGGGGCCTGCCATTTCCTCTCAGTGTGGAAAGAACCTGGTGTAGTCCACTATCTGAGCCAGCAACACTTGTGCTATGATGCACCCCTGATTTATGCACCCTAGTGCTTCCATTTGCCCAAGCCAGGGAGCTCATTTTTACTGACATGTAAAATACAAACTTTTGTGATGCTTCTAAGGTTTTGGACACCTCCCACAACAGAACAAGCAGGGATTTGCAATACGGGGAGCACCATAAACTGGGTGACCCAACTACATCACTTCCCAAGCAGAAAGCCAGTGCTCAAACTCTTTAGAACAAAGGTGAGTAGCATGAGGCTTTTTTGATGGGGTTAAACTTCCAACATCCCTGTTGACTTGCTTTGCTGACTAAGACCGATGTGGGTTGCAGTGAAACAGCATAACTAAAATTAGAAGAGTAGGTTTTTATATATTTCAAACCTAATAGATGGGAGACAGTGAAATAAAGTGGTTTTGTGTTTTCGATTAAGACTTCAGGATACCAGGGTTTGAATCACTGCTTGGACATGGAAACCTCCTGAGTGACCTTGGGCAAGTCACACTCTCTCAGCTTCAGGGGCAAACCTCTTCTGAAGAAATCTTGACAAGAAAATCCTGTGCTAAGTTTGCCTTTGGGTAGCCAGACGTCAGGCACATAACAACAATCTAGTGGATAACTAGATAATTTTCATTAAGGAACCTAAAGCCAAAGCTTTGACAATTCACTATTTTAGCTTACAGCTCCCAAAACCTTCTGGCATGAACAAAAACAAGTACCATGAGGAGGCAGCAATATATGGTTGCCTTGAATATATTTTCAGCTTTAAAAGGATTATCCTAGACTGGAGTTTCCCCCTGCATTTAATTTCTATCTTACCTACCAGGTTACATTTGTCTACTATATCCATGTGTGTTTATCTGCCAACATGGAATAATATTTCACATATCAGATGATAACCATGAAACCTTCTGCCAGTCTTCCCCTATACTGAGGTTATGCAGATGTGTCTAGCCTCAGCACCCATTGTCCTCAGCTGGTATGGGGTAATCACACTAAAGCTTGAAATATTGCAAATTGCATTCATGTTTCTTTCACACATTTACTTGTGAGTTCAGTGCCATGTAACTCGTCTCCATTGGCATGTTACCTTTTTAACTTTTAAAAATCACCAGCGTTATTTTTAAAAGTGGCCCCAAAATCCATCCAAATAATCTCAACTCTCAATAATGTTTTGTAGCAATGAGTAAGCATTACATTCAAAAGTAATAAAATTAACTGTCTGATATTTTAAGTAAGTCGTGGTTTCATTTCCTTGTCTTAGACATAATTGTGATGCATTACTTCTACTCTCTGAGATCTGAAAAGCACTAGGATGGGGATGCCTGTCTACTACTTGTTAGACCTTCAGATAGTGCAAAACTCTTTGTTCTTTTTTGCTTCAACAATCTAAAATGGCTACCCCTCCAGATATAGATGGAAATCATTTCCATAATTAAAATGAACACAGCTCCCAAGATACTGCTTAGATCATGAATTTACAATTGGAATAATGACAGACCCTATTAGATATATTAAAATATATAGTGCAAGTGGTAAGAGAAGAAAATTCTGTTCCACAGTGAAGCAAAAA